TTTTTTTGTTTTCCTTTTTTCTTTCTGACAACTGTGTAGACCAGCTGTTGCCATGCGGTGTCATGCACAATATTCAGTATCCACAAATGAGAGTAGCCTGAAAAGGTAAGGGTCTATGTTTTTGAAATAAGCTCAGTGTTGGATATCGTTTCCATCACGACAACCATCGCATTCCAAGTCTCCGTGATACTTTGGGTAAATTGTGGGAGTGTCTTCTGGTGTCTTCTGGTGCCTTCTGTCATTGAACGGGAGGCCATTTTGTTCCACCGTACGCTATCGTGATTATTAGAGCGATCAAAGAAACGTGGGAATGTCAGCTGTCACACCTTAAACAGGACAGTGTAATCATTCTGCTGCCCTCCTCTATCAAGGGTTGGGAGGATAATATGTAGAAATTGCCTAAAATAACATATTCTAGCATATTTAGCTACTTTGTTAGGTCCGTTGCTTGCTGAGGCTCATTAGCACTTATATAGCTACAAGGTTGGTCACTGTTGGTCGTTGTATAAAAAGTGGTTTATAAATAAAGTCTGGTTGATTGGTATATGGGTTTTCATTTATCAGACAGACAGACCGTCTCTGGTGGTTTCTTCAGGTTTAGGTTTTTCAGTCACAGTCTATTTATTTCGTCGCCAGAAGTCAAACGATGGAAATAGTGGCAAGGGTCACAGGAATATTCCTTTTTTATTTTGGGTGCTCATCATACCACAAATTCTACTTTGTCTGGTTGTTAGTAAAACTGTGAATGGCACAAAACCAGAACTTTGTAAAGAGATTTCCAAATATGTAACACTCCATTAAAACTAGCATACATTACAAACAAGGCTGTGTGAGATATGTTAGATTCAAAACAACTCAATGCTCAGTAACTAACATAAACTGCTACCACTAACCAACTTCAATATATTTCCTTCATTGCACCAGAAGTTTCACCCATAATCGTAAATACAGTGGTGCCCTCAGAAATAAGATAAAAGGCCACGTTTAGTCCCTATCCCATGTGTTCCTCTCACCCTATTAAAAATTCATTTATGGTGAAGTGGTGGAGTTAGCTTCAGCTGTTTTGAAATCCCAAACTATTCCTTTTTCAACCAGAATGTTTATTTTCTTTCTCAAAAGTGGCTTTTCTGAATGAGTGTGTATGTGGATCTTGGTGCTTATGCAGCCAGCCTCCAGTGGACACTCGGGGAACAGCAGTCTTTAAAACCTCTGCGTTGGCTTGATTTCCAAAGTTCCATGTTTGCTGCTTTGAATATATCCATGTCTGTGCAAAAAATGCATCATAAATGCTTTTTTTTTGTTCCTTACGTGAATATGCTTATATGTGTTTAATCTTTTCTAATTGAAAACAATGAGATTTTTTTAATTGGTGTTGTTCTTTAAGTTGCAAAAAGCCTGAGGGGGGACAACAGCTGGAAACTAGCAACAGCTAAAATGTCTGTATACAAACCCTCTGTTACTTAAGCAGATATTTAACAGGTGAAAGTTAAACTATATCATTTGAAATAAACTGAGTAAATAACATCAAACAAATTCAGCTGAACGAAGTAACTATAAAGATCAGTTCAAGCTTTTATTGGTTATGAAGCTGATTCAAATTACAAAAACAAACCAGACTTCAAGCATGAAGATGGACTTTTAGCTCTCCCTATTTATGTTTTATGTCCATTACTGACGTCATTTACAGCCCAGACCTTTTCTTTACATCTTTCATGACAAGGATTCACTGTGAGTGATCTTTTTGGACTTTTTAGTGTCAGAAAACAGTTTTTCATCTAAGTACGAGACGAGATAAGCAAAGAGATGAGACGTTCTGCTCTTTGGTTTGAAACTGACTGTAATTGAAAGTTTTAAAGCATTAATGTGGAAATGAAAGGAAACACTGTCTTTATGAAGAGGGAAATATAGAATATCTATCTGAAGACAGGGTCAAATCTACCCCTAGTATTTATTTTGCCTGTAGCCATGACACCAATAATACTTGACCGTCATTCACACCTCCTTTTGTCACTTTGGATCTTACTTTACAGCTTCTTCTCTCATTACTGACACTTTTGCATCATCGTCTGTTTTAAGGAAGCCGTGTCTGTGTCTCTCCTCTGTCTTTCTTCTTGAAGTGTTTGAACGCAGAGGGATGGTTAGTTGGTGGAGGCCTTACCGCCCTCATGTTGAACATAATTAATAAAAGCAGCCCACTCCAGTGTGAGAGGCTGATTAATGTAACAGATACATCATAGCATGGAGTGGACCATCTCTCTATCTCCTCCTTACTCTGCTAATGACAGGATGGAGACAGGGCTGGGATATTTTCCTCTGCCAGAACGTGCTCCTAATAAATCTTTGGTGAAGGCATATCTCTTATGTGCATGCTTGAAATCTTGCAGATGCAATTTGAATAATTATATATGACAACAACTGGTACAATTTCTGTCTTTTTGCTAATTATGTATGCATTTTTTCCCACCTTCAGTTAATATTATAAGAGCAGGGTGAGATATCTGAAACCCACTGTCTTATGGAAAGGAAATCCAGCAGATTTACATCTAACATGTCTTAACAGTTTGCATATTTCCTGGACGTAATTTTCCTTTGGCATAATGATTTGTCTTCAGGTCTGGTGCGAAGTTTACAATAGAGACACGTTTTCTGTTGGAGTATTGTTTTAGATGGATACAGAGAGTCTACAATCAGGGCTTTGCTGGATTTCATGTTTGTACCAACATGTGAATGCTTCATGGTTCTTTGAGGACTTAAACTCTGTTCATAGTTGTGCCATTGAAACAATTATTTAAGCACACATCAAGGCATCGGGGCTATGAAGGGTATCGTAAAGCTCACTGGTGGCACTATGATCAGTTGTGGTCACAATTAATAATTTGTCATAGCTACAGATCAATTAATCTGCATCAGTGTCGTCACAGTAACAAAGTTTCGACCTAGATACAAATGCCAAGTTTAAATCAATGATATTTGAAACTGACATAAAACCAGTTTGACACTCGATAGGAGGATGACCAAAGGGTTGGTCATGTTTGGATCTCTAAGTGAACAATCAGTTCCTTTTAAATATTTCTGAGGCAACTCTTTCACCTTTGTTCGCATTTTTAAGGATCATTTCATTTACTTTTATGTTGGCCACCATATAAAAGTGGTTAGTATCCTACACTTTTCATTTTGGATCTGAGTGTTTTTTATAGGCACGCTGATGGTGTGCCCCACATTCAGAGGCTAAGATAAGATAAGACCTTCCTTTATTCGTCCCACAAGGGGAAATTCCAATTTTTACAGCAGCGATAAATACAAAAGAGAAATTAAGAATGAAGAAACGTAGGAGTTAAAAGATATAAAAAAAGATATATACATGAGCGTTATTTACAGCTGTTTTGTACATGATGATATATTACAGTTGAAACTGTACTCTGGACTCCCCACATTTCCTTTCTCCTCAACTGTCCGATCTCATAAAGTTAAAAAAAAATAACAAAAAAATTGCAAATATACTATAAAAATACTACAATTTTAGATGCATAATGGGTCTGATATTGATGTGCTATAATGCTCTGATGATATGCATCGTACTGTGATAAAATAGCCTATCATCATCCTAGCTAGCTAGGTCATATGCTAACCTGAGGTGCTTGGCTCGGTTTGATGTATTCCGTGTTTTCTTGCATCTTTAGCACACAGGTTTTGATGAGTCAGCGGGTTTGTCAGGGAGCTGGTTGTTTACCACCACAGGGTTTGGATTTAGAAGATGACTCTCTGTTGTCATTGTGGTGGACAAGTTAAGGTGGAGGCATTGCTTTTGTTTTTCTCTCTTGCAATGGCAACAGAGGCTCAGGCTGGCAGGTGTGTGCCTCCCTGAGCGCTGATAGTCTTATATACCCTCCTTGCTGACACTGCCCCCCTGTGGAGATGCAGATAGTAGTATTGTGTCCCCTCTCAGTACTGAAATGCTGCTTCCTTCATTTGACTTTCCCTAAAAGTACAGAAACTGCTGTTTAACCTGGAACACTTATTCCACAAAAACAAGTGCTACTGTCTCGCCCAAACCAAAATATGAAAACAGAGATCTGTATTTAGGTAATTTGCATCAACAACAGATATCAAAAGACAGATCTTAACCACATCTGGTGATGGTGCTCAAAGCAGTCTTCATCCCAGAAAAACACCACAGATTTACCACAGATTTAAAGAGATGGTGAACACGCCTCTGAGTTTAGACTACTATTGCTCTTACTGACAAAAGTAACTCCAGAAAGATCTGAGAGGAGACGAAAAAAAGACACTTTTGACAGATTTCGCCTCCCAGTCAGAGGGAGTGAGCGGTGCAGATTTGTCCCTGTGTTCTTTCCAGGTAATTAGATTTTAAAACAGGTATGTAAGAGTTAAAGGGTTAAAGAGGAAAACCCCGGGGCCCAGAAGAAGTCCTGGTGGTCCATGAACCTGACTTTGAGAAACCACTATTTGTAACCAATGAAGTACAGTAATGGAGTGTAGTGGCCTGAAGTGTAGCTATGAAGTCTTCCCTAATGACTCTAACACATGTGTGTCTGGCTTTCAGCTCTCTCATTAACGTCACTGGACACTGTATACTCTGTGACTTGCTGTGTGTGTGTGTGTGTGTGTGTGTGTGTGTGTGTGTGTGTGTGTGTGTGTGTGTGTGTGTGTGTGTGTGTGTGTGTAAGAAGGAGAGAGACGCTGCTGTTTGCCAATATAGCCAGGTTTAGAGAGCTGTGGTGATCTCATATCCGCTTAAGTTTGCTTGCCCTGTGGCTCTGTGTGTGTGTGTGTGTGTGTGTGTGTGTGTGTGTGTGTGTGTGTGTGTGTGTGTGTGTGTGTGTGTGTGTGTGTGTTTGTACACACATTCCTACACACCTTACAGCCAGCGTCATGGTAAACATGATACTCTGCACGCAGGTGAGCGATGTCCTTTATTCTGCAGATACAAACTAGGACGTGTGTCCTCTGTAGCTTCTTTTTCCCTCACTTTTTTCACTGAGGAGTGAATGTTGAGTAAATGTCTCAGTTTAATTTTTGCAGATGTTTGCGCTCTGGTTTATGAATATGTGAGACCTGTGTGTGTGTGTGTGTGTGTGTGTGTGTGTGTGTTGGGGGGGTAAACAGGGTGGTTTGCTTAGTGGAAGGAGGAATTTCCCCCAGCAGTCCCCATCAGTAATAGTGCCTGTAATGAGCTGCAGCTGTCAGCGTGGTTTCCGCACACACACTTACACACACACACGCGCGCACAAAAACACACACGTGTACACAGCGAGGAGGAAGCAGTGACTCACGCAGCAGTGTGCCGTCACACTGTATGCTGATAAACAGAGAAACTCATCAGAGTTGCATCAGACACTAGACACAAACATTTCCTCAGAAATACCAACTCTAAAAATATCAGGGATTTACTTTTCGCATTACAACCTCATGTAAAGAAAATAAAAACAAACTGTTTCCTCCTCTTGCTGCTAAGTACAGGAAAATATAAAGTTGGAGCTGTCTGCTTTTTTGTGTGGAAATAATAATCACAGTAAGTCTCCATTAATCATATTTTAATTATTTCCCTGTTTTTCATCATTTTGCATTACAAAGTCCTACATAATAGTGAGCTGCATTTCTAACCAGTGTCTTGAATTGTAATCAAATAAATGCAATGACTGACTTTCTGATCGGAGGTTTAGCTTGTTTATTTAAATACATGCTGCACTGCAGCACCCTTAAGAGCCAGGCAGGTGAACTTGGTTTTCATTGGCTCCTGTGGTTGGAGTCCCAGGATCAGAGAGCTGATTGGTTCCTGATAAATTGGAGCCAGCTCACAGCTCTGTGGTGACTCTGTTCTCTATTTATCATTCAGGCTAACAGACACCGAGGAAGACCCTGATCTGAAACACACATTATGATGTGAGCCAATATAATGACAGTTTTGCCTCCTCTTAAACTTTGAATTTAAGATTTGTGGTTTTTAATTTTAATTTTTTCTCATTGTTTTCTCTTTTACAATTGCTTTGCGTGTAGTTGACATGAGCTGTTTTTTTTGCAGAGAGGTGTTATTATTTTCAGGCTTTATAATGTCTATCTGACACTTGACATGATTTAAGGATCAATTTTTAAAAAGATCTTGTGTTGGTGTTTTTTAAAATCTTTCAATCTAAAACACCTCACCACAAAAACTCCAATCTTCATCACTGTTTTTATCTCACTTCAAATAAACAATGTTTTATGAGGTTTGATTTAGGCCACGTTTACCTGACAACTCCAAATAAATGTCTCATTTCAACATGTCGTTTTTTTAAAAATAAAATATCTGCCAAAAGACTGATTCAAGTTCTTGAAATAGTACATTTCAAATCAAGGCACTTAAAGGTACATTTTTCTTCTCTTTTTAACTCATGACTAATAATTTGGTTCTCATTTTTTGGAGGGTAAAATCATGAATTCTGAAAATTTTGGGGACTTTTCTGATATCTGTAGCTTCAATCAAGCCTTATGAAGAAACCAGAAATGAGACAAAAAACCAAGATTTTCACGTTTAAGATACCATGCCCCCCTTTCACTCTGGACCCAGCTCTTCTGAAGCCTCCTCCACTGTTGTCATGCTTTCTATTTAAAGTGGCAAGTTTTGAAACATGTCCAATCTCCTGGAAAGTTTTGAGAGAGACAAAAATAAAACTCCCTGCAACAACAAAATCTACAATGGAAAAGGGTTTTACTATTGTGCTCTGTCAGGTTTATGTCACAAATCTGGTGTCATTCTTGCTTAGTTAGAGACGTTTTTTACATGTCGTCCAGATCAGTGAGTAGCAACTTTCCCCGCTTTAACTGATAGCATCCATTTTTTATCTGTGAGATACAACAAAGCATAAAACCACTTCTTTAAATCACAAACAATGCCAGCTTACCCGTGACATGAAATCTTTTTCTTCTTTGAAGAAAGTTGAAAGTTGAGTTTGAGAACTTTGTCAATACTTGACAGAACCATCTAAATACTTATGAATATTGGTGATAGTTAAAAAAAAAACAAAAAAACGCTGTCTTTAAAATGAATGTTATTTTTGCTTTCATGGAAAGCTCTGTTCTTATCAAAAATACAACGCTTAAATGTCACCTTTGACTACTGTTTCTGGTATCAGATTTTTATTTGTAACTTTGTCTGCAGACTTTGGTTAAACAGCATAAATGCAATTACAGGACGGAGATGAAAGTCGAGTGCTATGATCTTGTTTATTTTATTTCTTTTATTTGAATCTTTGCCTGTGCCAGTGTTCTCGTCTTTTTAAGGTAAAGTTGTCAGGGGAAACCTGCTCTAGTTATCTTGCTAAAGAATCAGTCCAGATGACACCAGACCTTACACAAATAATTGTTTTAATTTGACTTTCTCTCCTAAAATCTAAACTCACACGAAGAGTCACACACAAACTCTGGAGGAACATAATAAAAAGCAGAACCTCATACCAGCCCAGCTGAGTCACAGCTTTGTGTTTTGACCGGCCCGGCCCTCCGTGACCTCTGCCAATTTTTTATCTCATTTCACTCCAACTTTGTAGATCAGACTTTAATTTTGAAGCGAGGACCACGGGACAGTGATGAATAGGCTACATCAAGCAGGGCTTAAATTACCCCTCTCCCTGGTGGCAACACTGACCACAAGGAGAGGTGTGTGTGTGTGTGTGTGTGTGTGTGTGTGTGTGTGTGTGTGTGTGTGTGTGTGTGTGTGTGTGTGTGTGTGTGTGTGTGTGTGTGTGTGTGTGTGGTGACCTAGTAACAGCAGACAGAGAAAGAAAGAGGGCTGGTCAGCACTTGCCCTCTCAACCCTGCTAGCTCCGCAGCACACCCAAGGAGGCTGAAGGGGGGAGGACACAGGGGAGAGAAAGAGAGAGAGAACAAGAGGGGGGAGAGAGAGAAAGAGAGAGATAGAGAGCATCCACTCCATCTTTTTCAGCTGCTCTTGTCAATGCCTTGTCTGGTTTTTGGTGGGAGTTTGTGAGTTTTCAGGTTATTTGAGGAGAGTCTAACCCTGGCCTCCTTTTTCTCTCTCCTCTTCATGCAGATACAAGCGCCTCCTTTTTTAATCAACACCCCCACCAGCCATTCTGCGCTGGGGAAGGCAACTTATCCAGGTCATTCAGATATCAATGAAACCCTACCACCACATAATAAAAAAGCTCAGGTTGAGAGTGAGCGGTTACACTTCCTCACATGACTGTAACTTAGTCTCTAAAGTGACTACTTTTACTTTAACATCTGTGAGTATTTTCTGAGGAAAGTGTCTCGATAAGAAGAAAAGCACTAAAAAACGATACAAACTTTTTTTTTATGGACTGCATTAAGACAGCCGAATGGATGATGTTTACACTGCAAAACTTTTAAATCTTACCAAGTCAATTTGTTTTATTATTAGCCAAAATATGTCATCACGCTTAAGCCGACAGGTTCAAATATGAATCCTATTGCAAGAAATCATCGGCCAAATTTTTCCAGTTACCTGACATTGTTTCCAGAGATGTAAATTTCACCAGTTTTTACTTATTACAATCAATCCAGTCTTTGTTTCTGGCTTGTAGTGACAATCCTCTGCATAGCCAGCCCTGGCTTGCGTGTGCAGAGACCATTTCAAAGGTGCAATATTCAAAAAATATACTGCAAAAATATTCAAGAACTTCACTTTGCAAAGGTGCATGCTCCTGATTACTTCACATGATTGTTGTTGGTTATGTTACAGCAGATAATTTGTAGGGGAGACTGGGAACAGTTGCAACAAGGAACGGTTACAACAAGGCTTATTCTTCCAATCAGAAACACGCTAGATTGATGACACTGATACTATAACATTTTGTATATTCAATTATAATTATAATATCATAAATAATACATTTGAGACAGAAAAAAAAAATGAAATTGAATGGATTTGTGACAACCGTCCCAGGGGTCAGTTGCAACACACTGAATTTGCCTGGTCCAAATCATCTCCGAGTAATTGAGAGAAAAGCAAAAAGTGTTGCAACTGTCCCCAGTCTCCCCTACGTTTGCATCATTTAACCCCCTGGGTTAAAAGTCCCCACTCTGTACTTCAAGTACATCAGAGCACTTTTTGTTTTTACTTGTGTAGATTAACCCACTGGTAGTTTTACTCCTTCTTGAGTACAATGTCATGAAAGTAACTGTGCTTTACCTCAAGTATATTATATTTGGTTCTCGTCCCACCCCTTAAACAGTCCGTCTCAGAGTGAGGTGGGAAAAGCAGGAAGGTTTGGCCCACAGCCACAGAGAGGAAGAAAACCCAAAACAGAGACAGAAACCAGATTTCTGTGAGGGGAAAAAATAAAACCAACGACAGGGGTGTAAACCCACCATTACAGAGGGGCTGCTATTATTTCTATATTTCTTAAGATATGTTACATATAGTGTCACTTTTAAGGCACATTTTTGAGGAAATGTTTGGAGCTTTTGTAGTTTTATGATGTGGAAAAACAGTCAGTATTATAGTTCATGGTCATTTTTGAAAAACACCTTTTATCCGGGCTAAATTTCACCAAAATATGCAGCTCATGTCTTCACACACTCGGCACATTATTATCTTGCATATTAATTGTTCATCGTCCCACTTTCCCTCCTGAGCTGTTCAGTCACAGTGGGAGGAGGTACAAGGATGTGTTGGGTGAAGGAGACATACAGTATCTCACACCGTTTCTTTTTTTTACATTTTATTTTCTACCCCGGCTGCTCTGCTGACTGACCCTACCCCCCCGCTCTTTATCCAGTCTACTAGAAACCAGTGTGCCGTGAAGCCGGTGCGCCATGCCGCCTCTCCATGCCAGTGTGAGCATCGAAAGAGAGGAAAAAGAGGTGGAAAAAAGATGAAAAGGGGTAAATCATCAGAAGAGTAGAGTGGTGGAGCCTAGAGATAGACCGCAATCATGTTTCCACTGAACCGACAGCAGCTTTCTGTGTTTTGAGGAGGGGGGAGGCAAATCTTTTACACCCACATTGGACTCTGGGGGCAGGGCAAATAAAACGTTTTTGCATTTTCCTTCATAAGTCACAGATCACTTGAAAAACACTTGGAAACTGGAAATATCAGGAAGTAACTACTTGTAGTATCTAGTGTTTGATAATGTTACTGAAGTTTCCCTATGGAAAAAGGGTCAAACTATTGAACACCAAAGGTCAGCGTTTTGTACTGAACTAGACAACTTTTCTTGCAGTAAGTGCATTTTTAAAGTGAATTAAGTCAAAATTATATTCTTACTCAACAGACTGATCTGAGTCAAGACCAGCTCAAAACCAGACATGCTGGAAATGGTACGAGAGGGAGACGTTGACACAAGGATTAACCAATAGACTTAGAAACGACTGTTTCCTCTCTCATCTGATCTATAACATTGATAGAAGTGTTTTGTGTGTGTGTGTGTGTGTGTGTTTTTTCTATCATGGGCGACAACAGGCAGCAAAAGAAAATGAAAAGTTATGTCAGTTTTAATTTACATGATTAGATTATTTTCAATCCAAAAATTAGCAAGTAATCTTAACCCAGCATGCATGAGGAGATCTCATAAATCAGATACCGACACCATTGTAAGTGTGGGCTGATTACTTCTTTTTTTTTTAATTCATTTTTTTACTTTAAGCATGGAGATAAAAAAAAAAGTTACCCATCGTTTAAATTCACAGTCACCTAAAGTTAAGATAGGAGAAGAAAAACACAACCAAAGGATCAATGTTACATCTCAAAAGTGCTTAATTTGGTTTCAAACCACTGCTGTGGTTAAGTTATCACACACCTACAGAGAAAATGCAGCGTGATAATCAAACTGAGCATGCGCAGAGTCAGTGCCACGATATCTACTTGTTTCTTGTTGGATACATTGAGTGTTAAGATTGTTCCTGGTCTCCCCTACTCTAAAGTGACATGAACTGGAGGAGTTTTTTTTTTTTCTTTTTAGCGAAAATTGGAAGAAAAAAAATTCCTCCTCGTTTCATACCAATTTTAAAAGAAAAAAAGAAACATAAAAACACTTGTGTGTCTGCGTCTATTGCGCGCGTCGTGCCTGGATGTATATAATGTTTTAAAGTATCTTGTGCCTCTTTTTGTTTAATCCTCCGTGCCCCTTCACCAAAAACAACTCCTATAAAACCAATGGATTAAATTCTGGACCCACTCACTGTGGTACGAGCACTAAAACTGTGCCATGCTGTGCGTCCGCGGAGAGGCTCTGAGCCCCGAGTCGTGCGTAAAGACTTCAGCTGCACAAGGTTCAACTCCCTTAAATGCAACCCCCAGCTAAACACACGCGCGCGCGCGCGCGACACGGTACTCTGGGGAGGGGGGGCATAAATCGCTGACCTTTATTTTGTGAAACAGAGGGGACGCACACTCACACACTCGCAGTTTCTTTCTCTATCTAACCCTCTCCCTCTAACACACACACGCGCGCACGTGAAATTGCCTCCTGTGTTAAACTTGAAGGCGGTAGTACGTATGGGTGTGTGCATGTGCTCACCTGGAGCCCCGGCCCCCTCACCTATTGTTGGAATCAGGGTTGAAATTGTTTATGCTTAACTTTCTCACATACACAGCCGCTTCCTGCGTCTTTAAATAGAGTCTTTGGCTCAAACACATTTAGATATGAGTCACCCTCCATGCTGTCACAATATTTCTATGAGAGTCTGCCTCTATAGAGTCCGCTGCCTGTAATTCCAGCGAACTTTAATATGTCGCCGCAGATTCATTTTCCTAGCTGTGAGATGCACAAAAGCGGAGGAATAAATCAGTTCATCAGGAAAAACTTGTGTGTCACACAAGCGAGAGAGCAAAGTTTAATATCAGCAGGAACGTGAACGCAGCTTTATTCGGGGGTATTTCTCCCACAGCAGGCCCAATGGGAGGAAGAACAACATCTGAATTTGTTTTATATTTTGCAGCGCGGTGGTTTCATTGCATGACACGAGACGGAGACTAATTAGACGGTTTTGATATTAAAAAAATAGCGTAACAGACATTTTTTCCAAAACAACGGGAAAAAAAGAGGAAACAAAGACAGACACGTCGGTGTCGTGCGCAAAGGAAGTTTTTCGAGAACTTACTATTTTTTTTTTTTATTTATCAGGACAATATGACAGATTAAAACTAATCAATCAATAAAAAAGTAAGAATTTTGGCCTAAAAGATATGCTGTTCGTAATGTGACACCAATAGTCTCTTAAATTAACCCAAACACAAGACAGTGTGATGCGATAGATGCCCTTTAATGAAATGACGCACACCTCTACCTGCTCTAACACATGCAGGAAATAACTTTTAAGAACACACCTCAGTGTTTAAATGGTTTTCCTAAATTATTTTTTTTAACTCGTTGAAGTTTAAAATCAATCCATCCTAAATTATGAAGTGTTTCACAAAGACATGATCAATGTCTCCATATTTCGATAACTCTCACTCTCTCCCTCCCTCTCTCTTCCTTCTCCCTTTTCCTCTGACAACACACACTCACACAAACACTCGTGTTTCGCGTTCTTACTCCATATTCTCACACTTTTAAGTAAATAAAAAGACTTATTTTCGACAAAAAATACTAAAAGAAAGGAAACAGTGGCTACCTAAGAAAAAATACCCCCAATAGAAATTTGAAACATACACCTGAACAAAATGAGCAAATGCTTAACGTGCTTAACATCAGCTTTTGAGACACCGCACACTCATTTGCTTCTTTAATGCAGCACGACAAGCATAAACCGACTTTATATCACATCAAACATTCACACTTAGACTGAGTTTTATTACACACACCGCTGGTGGAAAATAAAATGAAAGACTGATGGGCACAGTCAATCATTTAAGAAGAGTATCAGCATCAAGTTACAGTTGAACATGTCTCTGATCAAACCCGGCATAGGTTTGAGTCCAGGTCTTGACCAGACTCTTGTAAATATCTTGAGTACCTACATATTCAATATTGCGCATCAGTCTGCGCTGCTTTAAACTGCCGCAAAAAAGTGCAAAAAGTGTCCGGTGTGTTTTTGTGATAAAGTCCTGGGTGTCTGTGTAAATCAGTGCCTCTCTTCCCCTTCCCTTCTCTCCCTCTCTGAGGCTGGGTCCTTTGCGTAAAGGCTCTTGTCTGTGCCCCCATGTCTGAATACGGCCAACATGACAAAAGAGTTTAATTTGCAACAAACAGCAAGAATGTCAGTGCGAGTATCCAAGTGCGCAACACACAGAATAAAAGAGGATAAACGAGCCTCATTAAATCATATTTTTTCAGCCCGGTGATAAACACCAAATAATAACTTTAGATGAAGTTCATATAAATTGTGTTTTAACAGTTGAAAAGAAAGGGGCTTCTTTTATTTCAGTCCAATTTCCTGACAAATGTGTTGAAAATGTTGCGAAGTAAACTGCTAACCGCCACACAAACACACTTGCTTCAGCACCTCACCACATTATCCTTGATAAGAGAGTCGAGTCTGATTGTGTCCTAAATTATACGCGGAGTAAATAAAGCTTTTTGTTCCGAGCGCAAAGCTCCGAAATCCAGGCTAAAGTATTTTAAGCCACTGCAAATGTGGTGAAGGAAAAGTATTTCTTCTTGTGGAAATTCTGGGACATATGTTCTTGTAAATATTAGTGAGGAGGAATAAAGAAGATGCCGCAGAAGAAGAAGAAGAGCAAGAAACAGAAAGACTCCAGCTCCTCTTTGATGGTAAAATGGGAGACAGTAACGCAGCGCGCTCCCTGACGGCCGTTTCAGAGAGTGGACTGTGTCAATCAGACCGAGAGGAGAGCTCTCCATCGCCCACGTGCGCGCGCGATGCATGTATTTGCGCGTGTGAATGAGTGTTGTGTTTGAGTGTACGCCGCGGGTGGGAGGGGGTATTGTAGTATCGCAAGGAATGCGCGCGGCAGTTGTGTGTGTGGATGTGTGTGAGTGTGTGTGTGTGACACTGATGGATGCGCCAATGGAAAGACGGACAGATGCTTGGGCGGATCTAACGGCATGCAGTGGAGGAGTGGCGCACACAGTCGCGGTGAGATTAGGGAGAAAACATCCTCGATCGGCGGAGGGTCACAAATCATCAATTCTTCCACCGAGCCCGGTGAACAGCGTTGGAACAGCGGCGGGGGAACGGACAGACTCCCCGGTTTGACCGAGGAGCGACACGCGGAGGACGGCTGAGGATCTGATTCCCTCGGCGGATCCAGAGAAGAAAGCAGTTTCTCTGCTTATTGACGAGCGTGAGAGACGAGGCGCAGCGGCAGCACATCTGGCGCAAAGGGAGTCAGGAGGAGAGAGGAAGACAGCCTCTGGCTACTTACCCTTACTGCTCACCCTCCTTCTTCCATCTCGAGTCTTTTATCCTTTGTTTTCGCCACCGTGAAGCCGCGTGTCCCAACCTGAGGATTGTCTGAAAAAAAAAATACAGGAGAATATTTTTGATAAGCTTCACCAACTCAGCTGAATCACAAAACTTTTACTTCCACTTCAAGGCCAGTAAAAAAGGAGCAGTCCTTTTCAGCAATTAAGAATATCCATCATCTCAGCGGAGGAGGATTTTCAACTTACCTGTGAGGAGAAAAGAACTTTATTCCACAGAGCGCCAGTCAGAGGAAAGCGTCTCTGCCGCCGCTTGAAGCGCAGGAAGGAGAGCGGAGCGCAGTGTGTGACTCGCTGCGTGGCTGATTTAAATAGCTCCTATCAGGCCACGCAGAGGGGAGAAAAGTACCATCAGCGGCCAACAAAGTGTTTGGCAGAAGGCGCTCGAGCTCGGCTGATCCGTGCGCTCCAGCCAGCCTGCATGCATGGGAGCAGCCTGAGCCCTCCTCCTCCTCCTCCTCCTCCTGCTGCTGCTGCTGCTGTACATTATTACAACAAGGGAGACCCAATCAAGCACGTATCTCATCGATTCACGCACACACAGACACACACGCGCGCAGCAACGCTAAAACGCACGTGCGCACACACGCACACGCGTGCATACTGAGTGTGTGACTTGCCCTCAGCGGATTTTTCAAAGCACTCTCGGACAAAATCTCGTAGCCGCGCCAGGCAGGCAGGGCAGCGTGTGGGCGACCAGTCCCGGTCGTCACCTCCTTCTCCTCTCCCTCCTCCTCCTCCTCCTCCTCCTCCTTCTTTTCCTTCAAGAATAACAAACTGAGAAAGCTGCATGTGTTTTCTTTTTTTTTTCTTTTTTTGGGGTCGGGACTTGCCAAGGGGCGATTGGATTTTTATGAGATGATTTTAGGCACGTTTCGGCTGCTTCACCTCTTGGCTTTGAATCGTGCGTGATCAGCGGGAGGGAGAAGAGAGAGCTCATGGATCAGCCCGTAAAGTAAGTATTCATTTCCGTTCAGATCACACTGTCAACCCGCGCTTGCTTGTAAACGATCCTGTAAGTGTGTGTGTTTTTGTTAGACGACCATGTGTCTGCATGATCCGTCCGCAACATGACTGACATTACGCACATTTCAAAGCCAAAGCAGAGCTCCTTATTAACCCGCTGCTTCGGAATAAACGGCTGTAGAAAGAGGCAGTGAATGACAGAAGGAGAGTGAGAGGGGTGAGAGAGGCAGGGAGAGAGAGGGGGAGAGAGACAGGGAGCTACGTGACGCCTCTGAGCGGCGGAGAGGTTGATCCGTAGAGGAGCCTGCGCAGGGCTTCAGTGCTGTCAGCTCTTGATGTGTTGTCCCCTTGTTTGCGGACTTTTGACTGACGCGATCATTTGGTTTTATCCCTTCAAGCTTGCCTGTTGCAGCCGAGTAAAGAGGATCACACGGAGACACCAGGCGCTTTCCAGCCTCCTTTCTGTGTTTTTCTACCGCGGAGCTCCCTCTGTTCCTGATTCCACCGCGTCCATCCAAACCGGAGCGGGCGAGACAGACGCCGACGGAGAGAGGGAACAGCGAACCGGGGGTTTATTCCCCCTTCTTTCTTTTTTTTTATTTTTTCACCCTCCTCGCATCTTCTGGCTCTTTCTCTTCTGATTCTTTTTTTGTGTTCGAAAACTGCACACCCTCCCCTGCTTACACCCACCTACCCCGATCTATGTGGGAGCCCTGAGAGCGCACCCAGGGGGGGAAACTGTGTATCAAAGCTCCGAGGATCCCCCAAGCAACCTCGGATCACCGGGGACAGAGAAGAACTCCCCGCCGGGCCCCTGCAGCCGACATGCCGCGGAGGAAGCAGCAAGCGCCCCGGCGCGCCGCAGGTACGAACTGGCTTTGGTTGACATCAAATCTACCTCTCTCTCTCTCTCTTCTTCTCTTCCCCTACTCTCTCTCTCTCTCTTTCTGTTTGTGCCCCCACCTCCCCCATTCACTTACTTTTCATTGATATTTCCCTCCTCAGCCTCATTGAAACATTAACATCTTCCCTTCTGAAGAGACAAACATGGAGCTCTCAGTGTGCTCTTCTCTCAGCTCCAGAGCTTCAAACACAACTTTTGGTTTTTCATGGACCATAGATCCTCTAATTCCTGCCTAAATAATTTCTATCACAACTAGTTACTCTGCTTTAGCGTCCACTACACTGCTGTTGTACCACGTTAGTGTTGATTTGTCAAATTCAACAGCACTTCCAATTCTCTCTTCCTGAAATGCGTTACGTAAACATGACCGTTTCATCTGTTTTATTTTTGTGACCATCAGCAGAAACTGAAATAATGAGTCCATTATCAGACTACTCATCCAGATTTTTTGAGAAGCTTTTTGAGCAAAAACGTCCAAAGTTTCTTGTAACCGTCCTCTTGTGTGAATGCAACTATTTCTGCTTTTCTCTGTGGTGTCTGCAAGTCCAAGATCGCTCTGTGGTCTTCACTGCTTTTGTGTCAAACTACAAATATCCATAAACTCATCCTGAGGCTGTGAACAGGTTTCATTTTTTTGTTTCACTTTCTCTTCTGTTTTTAGATTTAAGAGGAAATAATACACGCATTAATCTAAACTGCATGCAATCCTAATTTTAGTTTAATCTAAAGACGCAAAAGGGTTTAGGTGTTTTCAGGCGTAACCATTCGGTTGAAGTTATCACTCCATCCTCTCTCTCAAAGGGGTCAGAGGTCAGCGGCTGTGTACCAGTAGTCTCACTGAGAGTGTTATAGGTGTAAAAATGTGACTCTCTCTTCTCTCTTAATCCACCTCTCGCTGGCGTCAGAGAATTGGGTCTTCTTTTACCTCTTTCACCGTTCACGGTGCCTCCTTCCTCCTTCCTCCTGTGTTGTTAGTTCTTGACTGTACGGATCTATAGTGTGCAGGTTTGGGGAGCTCTGGGGTCAGCTGACTGTCACTGAGGCCTCCGATGTTGTCTGGTTTTGGTTTGTGAAGTCGGATTAACTTGAATACGTGCAGAAACACTTCTGAGACCCCTGCAGAGGTGTGTTTGTGTCAAACACAGCCACACTCTGATCACTACGGTTTGTCCCCTCGATGAATTTTGGAGGTGTTTGGACACAGATTATCAGGTTTTATTGACCAGGTTCTGCTGTCACATACACTTTACCCTTCACATTTTTTAACAAATATTTCTTCGCTCACTGCAGCTCATGTATTTTGGACCTTAACACAGAAGTGCCTTTGAAAACTTTTCCTCCACCGCCTCTGTTTAGTGTGAGTCTTCCATCTGTTTTCTTCTTTCTCTGCTTCTTCCTCGGTTTCTGGGAAAGACTTTTCTCTTCTAGTCTAAAGATTATTTCACGGCCCGGGGAGGGAGTGTATACTGGAAGAGAGCTTTAATGGACAATTGCCATCTTTGATTTGATGCCTGATTGATCACCTGTCATCTGGCCGAGGCTTTGATCTGTTCATTCTCGATAAGTGTCAATAAATCACCCCCCCTCCCTCTTGTCCCTTCTCCCTCCCTCCCTCTCTCTCTCGCCCTCATCTCTCACTCATTCTTGTGAAGGCCTGCTGAAGTCACGTCTGGCCTCACAAACTTCAAGTCATTAACACCGTCGTTTCACAGCGTCTTTTGTTGAGTTGAATTTCCTATTTTTTTTCATAACATGGGACGCAGTTAAGAAAAAACAGCCTTTTTTCTGTTCTCAGATAGAGTTTTAGTGTTCGTATGAGATCCTTTTTGAGACTGTAAATGTGTGTTTTTTACCGATTTTTAAAAACAAATCAAATCTTTTTAAGAATCTTTAGCATTCACACTGAAATATACACCTAAAACACAAATTGTATTCATACATGTTGTTTTAAGATAAACACTTAAAACATCCCGCACGGCCTTTGCGATTGTATTGTCGACTGTTCTGTGTACGCTCGCCCTCTTTTTCAACTTTCTATAACTCTAAAAAAAGTCAAAAGCCTCCACACAGCACATGCACTCCTATTCTCACACACATAATTACATTTGTGCAGTGGTGCATGCACATGCTGCATGCTGCATTGACTTTACAGTTCATATAAACCAGCATGCAATATATAAATATATATTTGCACACACACACACTCACACACACATACACATGCGGAGTGGTATGAAAAATGTAACTATTAGCCTAATCGTGAGGCGGAAGACTGGTTTGCTCCATCAGAAGGAGCCGTCAGAGAGACTTTGTTTCATATTTGATTTAATTGTCTGCCCTCTGACAGCCACATTCATCAATGGCCCTAATGGTCAATCAGAGGCTGGCACACAGAGAGAGAGTCTTATGTGTTCTCAGCCCTGGGCCTTACTTGATCAAAATGTTTTAGCCCTAATGGACACAATGGGAGGGGGCAAAGAATGGGTGGACGGATGGATAGATGGATAGATGGATGGATGGATGGATGGATGGATGCATAGCGGGATGACTGAAAGCCTTTTTATTCAGCTGGAATGAGAGAGTGAGTGTGCCGGGAGAGAAAATGAGGCATTTATTTCTTTGATGAGAGAAGGAGAACAAACACGAGGCAGGCGAAGGAGGAGTTTCATTTTAGACTATTGGCAGCTTCCGATTTTTTTTACCCCTCCTCCCTCCCTCCCTTGTTCACAGCTGCAACTTATAAGGCTGAGAAGAAGTGCATGGCACACAAAGACTGATGACAAATTGATTGCGCTGTCCTGATGGCAAGAGTTATGGGAGGATGGCAAATGATAGGCCTTGATTAGAAACTTTGGGGGGAGCTGCACACCCCCCCGCCTTGTTTTTTTTTTTATAATTTTTTTTATTGTTTCCACAGCTCAGTCTCCTCTTCTACTCTCTCTTTGTCCTCTTTTTTTAAGCCCCTGTACTCTGCACCTAAAAAACACCCCCTCTCTCCCTGATGTGGTTACAGGCTGCAGGTCGTTCACATGGAGCTCCAGTGATTCATTCAACCATCAGATTTGTTCAGATGACATAAACCCGTAAATCTGGTTAAAGGTCAGAGTGTTTATGGAAAGGTTCATTTGGATCTGCTGATTTAGAACCTTTCATGTGTTTTTCATTAGTTATTACTGAAACAGAACATGTGCAGATCCAATTAAGTCTGCTCTTCTGCAGGGTTCTGCACAAGCATGAAGAAATAACCTTTCCTTTTTGCTCGACGCGAGGCCACAGTATCTCTATCCTCTTCCTGATCTACACACTCCTTTTCCTCTATCTTTCACACACACACACACACACACACACACACACACACACACACACACACACACACACACACACACACACACACACACACTTCCAGCCCAGCGACGGAGCGCACTCAGCTGTCTAAAAAGAGGAGTTGTTTTGCCAGCTTCATTAGCGTTCTCCTAATTAGCCGAGCATCTGATGGATCCCTGACAGGCCTAATGATTGGAGATGACAAGCTCCGCACACTGTCACGCTCGCCAATTAGGTCTGCAGCATAGTTGGATGTAATCAACTTGATCTTACACTGTCCTCATTTGCCCCCCCACCGCTCCCCACCCATCCCTTTGCTTCAACCCCGCATTGTGTAGGCGAGTCTTTGGACAGTGGTGGTGAAGTGTAAGTAGGAAGGCTGCGCGATAAATCACTAATTTATCCATATTTAATGAGCGCACAGCAAAAAATTGCACTTTCTCCCAATAAATTAGAAAATGATTGAACACACACAATCAACGCGTTCTCTCTCAGCATGAACATCTGACCTGTCAAACCAAAGCCTGGGCATAACGCTCCTGCTTTTGCCCCATTTTGATGCTTTAACCAGCAGTGAGCGAGAGCTTTCACAAATACCAGAGGAGGTCTCGTATTGAAATGAAGCTAAAAATAACCATGCAGTAGTAGTGCGTAAAGACCTGGGTCACAGTAGGGGGCAGTAGAAGTTCTGTATGTTGGTTACCACCCACCGTAAAACACAGGGGAGACAAAGTCGAGGAGCAGCTAGCTGCAGCAGTCCTCCGAAGGACTCAGCCACTCTTAAAACTTTTGTTTGAAGATTTACTATGAATTCAAAACAACGCACACCTCTACAGGAGGGCTGATGCAATCACAAATTTAAACTTTCTAAACAACCTTGCGGCCATTTCACTCATTTCTGTAATTTATAATCTCTCAGAAGTAGCTTCATTTCAAAATAAAAGCATGTTTTATGCGACACAAAATAAAGCAACCCAACTTAAGTGATGAAATGCTGATGTTTGCTTGGGTTTGTTTTAAGCCCTGGTAATGTGAATCACAAAAAGGGCAGCGGACTACTTTGCTATTGTTTACTTACCACACTTCTCACTGATATCACAACACTAATCCGTGTCTTTGCGCATCCTGTTTTTTTTCCCTCATATCCTGCAAAAGTCAGATTAGCTGCTGAAGACCTGAACAAAGTGTGACGAAAACAAGAGAAAAGTTTGCTTTGTTTGAGGACAATAGACTCAAAGTCACAAAATAAATAAGACACGATTGTTCACTTTTGCTTGCATAAATGAAAACACATTTATTAGTTTAATTCACTGTATTTCTTCATATCCTGAGAAAAAACCTTTTGTATCGTAGTATTCTGCTGCCCTAATGAGCAGAGGTGTACCCTAAAAACCTCGGTTCATATGTATACGTGCGTGCATACACCATTTTCTCAGCATGGATATTTATTTTCACGGCGCTCCTGACTTCAGGAAAAGACAAAGCTCAGGCGAGCGGTGGTCTTTTGTCTGTGGGCTTCAAAGCGAGGCTCCACCAAACAGATCATTGTTAAAAGAGAGGAAGCTCAAACATCAAACATCATGTATATTATTTTTACTTCTTTTTTCTTGTTTACAGCCTCAAGTTTTACTTGATTGCACATGTGCATGTGGAAATCTATTGTTTTAAAGCGGCGCGTGAAGGAAAGAAGGATGTTCAGCAGTAAGTGGCAGCTGCATGGGGTTAGAACAGCATTGTGTGTGTGTGTGTACATGTGCGTGCATATGTGTGTGTGTGTTTCCCTCCTATGAGCCGGCTGCTGCAGATTGATGACGTTGACACTGGTCATTATTAGCTACTCAATGACACTTTCCCAGAGTGGAAACACCTATCATCAGCATGGTGTCCAAAGAGGCTAAGCATGATTTATGTAAATATTAACATCAAGACAGATCTGGTTCTGTCCGACAGGAGATAGATGGCAGCCGAGGAGGAAAAGCAGCTGATTTCTGTGATTTCTCTGCCTCCGCCTGTGAGTGTGTGTGTGTGATTGATTGTAGATGAGAGCCAGAGATTAATCATGCTTGATGTGTGTTAACGTTGCACTCGCGGTGGATCTAAGTCGAGATGCAGTGGCCCACTTAGATATACTCACACACACACGCGTGCGCACACACACACACACGTTTTAAACAAGGATTTGCATGCATAAAAGAACAGGACATTTTCTCTTTTAGGGTACATTTTATGAGAGATGATCTCTGTGTAGCAGATTATGTTGATCTTGTTAAAAATAAAACAGTATAACACTCTTTTTTTGTTGTATCACCGCCTCTTATACAGTTTAGTGTGAAGCTTTAGCAATAAATGAAACATGTCCATATAATGAGGTGAATAAACCTTGTTTAAAAAGAGACTTGATGATTCTGTCAATGATCTTATAAACAGCATTTTCACCACGGCTCTTTATTTCAGGTACTTTTAGCTACAGGAACCAGAAAAAAACACACCGTCTTTATGTCTTTTTACGCTGTGATCAATAATAGTAAAAATGTGTATTTTTAAGTGCTTCTATTAATATTGTGACGCTAACCTGCTTTGCACCATTTATAGCCGTGTGTAGATATTTTCCTGCAACTGGAAATTTTTAAAAATGTGAGTTTTGGATCAAATATGTCATCTTTTCCTAGATGTTATTTTGAAGCTCAAACTAGCTTCTTGTCTCTTCTTTCACACTCCAGTTTTAAGTCAACCTTAAAACTTTCTAGAATGATTACTCAAGTCGAGTCTCTTTTTTTTTTTTGACTGGAATGAGCGAAAATAAAACAGGTTATTTTCTTTGCAGTTAATCTTAAATAAAGTTTCATGAATATGAACAGTAGGGATATTTTATTTCATGCCTTTTAACCTCAAGAGAAAACTCTGCTTTGTATCGGATAATAGACTAGATGATCGGAGCTATATATCTCTGTAAGCCAACTTTTACTTTTCTAATGCAAGAAATCAGCAAGGTCCAAGGTCTTCTTTAAAATATTCTAACCTGGTAAACAGTCAACTTAAAACCTAAATCGCAAAATAAAATTCATGTTAGCTGCGTAAACATGAAAAAAAAAAAAAAGAGTTTAATATTTTTGTCTCTTTTTTTTGTGTCACTTCTTTATTGTCTATGTCTGATTTGTTGAAGAGTTTTGAGACTAGTTGTATCCAGTTGATAAAAGTTTCTGGATCATGTCTCACAAACTACACATCGCTGATCATTCTCTAAGGCTGTGTAAAACTTCCACACTGTCCGCATTTCACTTATACTTCCATGTTTGTACTTCCTGTGCCACAAAAATGCTGTTTCCACCAATAATGAAGGGATTCTGCATTCTGAAAAAGGATATTTGTCACTGCACATGGTGTATACAATATATATTATTATGTTTTGCTCTAGAGCTCAATGAAAAAAGATTGAAACACAGATACAAAAACACACACACATGCATCTACACTCTTTTACCTGCATGAGCTCAAAGCATGCAAACACAGTAGAAAAAGGATGGGCCAAAGTGTGAGTACTAACTATGGGGATAGTGCACCATGCAATAAACAGTAAGAGAAACGTGAGTTTAAAAGAAGATTATTACAAATACAGTATAAATGTTTGCTTCACTGATTTTTTAAGCATGGATCATTAAAGATATTTTGAACTTTAATCACTTTATTTTGCACTAATCTGTTTTTCAGTCACAGTGAAAATGTACTCTGCTAGACAGAGATGGTAATTCCTGTAACTTTGATTTTCCCATAAAAGAGGTGTAGTTACATCTGCTGAATATTAAAAATGATCAACTGGAACGAAACAAGGAGGGAAATGTCTAATCTTTCCTGATATGATGACTCACTACACACAGATACAAAGTCAACAACAATAGGACTTTTTATTGAGAGTGCAAGAGCTAAAGGTTCGACAGCGCAGTTTTGCCCACCTGCTAACTGAGTAGTAGACGTGGTTAACTGCACCATCATACTGTTAGCTCAGTAAAAACGATCTTCTCTAATAGATGAACACCAAAACCCAAATCTGCCCTTAAGCCCGTCCCTGACGACAACACCACATTTCCTAACTTTTGCATGTACGCGAGGCTGCAAACCCTCTGAGTCTCAGTCCCTGCGTGCCAGCCTCAGCCCTGCTCCCTACATTACTTTGTGTGGAGTGAGTCTTTCCCAGGCAGCTAACTGACATTGTGATTAGTTATGGCCCTCTTCTGCTTTTCTCAGTGCTCCTGCCCCACCACGCTCTGCCACAATGAACCCCGAGACGCAGACAGAGAGCAGATATAAAGTGGGAGAACTGTTGCATAGTTAAATATTCTATCATAGGGAAAGACAGAAAGGTAATGAGATTGTAAAAAAGATTATGTGCGCTGGAAAAGAGAGAGCAGGAGCGAATGAAAAAGCAAGCGAGTAGACAAACGACAATCATAGAGAGGGAGACAGAGGAAGAGGGAGGAAGAGACAGGGAGGGAGGGAGGGAGGGGAGTAGAGCCCCCTTTCCTCCCCCTCCGCCCTCCTCCCTTCCTTTCCTTGAGGATAAGTGGCTGATGGTTTATAAACAGTGTTTCTTTCCCTCCCTCTCCAAGAATCTTCCGTCATGGCTCCCATTAGGTTGACAGCTGTCAATTAGAGCTCCCTTGGTCTGGCGCTCTGCACTTTATTGCAGGCAGTTGATGCTGTCATTTTGCTCCCAGTTTCGCCTTGAGCGTTATCACGAGCGCTCAAACAGTCAATAGCTGATGCATCAGCAGTTATTTCTTAAATTGGCTCACAAGGCTGCATCCTTTCCTCATTTTTTTCACCCCCCCAATTCTTCTCCTTCTCTCTCTCCTCTCTCTCTCTCTCACTCTGTGCCTCCTCCCGCTCTCCTTTTTTCTCCCCAAAGATTGTTTTTTGTGAGAAGTGAGCAATGGTGCTGTGCCTGTCGAAGGGTGCATGGGTGCACACAAGTGCAGAGAGGATGCACAGAGAGCAGAGAGCAAAAAAACATACAGAGGATACTAAAGATAAAGCATCTGTTTACATAGTGACTTTGTACCATGATTGGCTGCAGCTAGAAGTCATTTTATTATTGCTGCTAAAAGTAAAATTGGGACTGTAAGCAAATTGATATGAATAATGAACAGTGTTGACGGAGTAAAAGAGGATTTCATTTGTTTGAAATAGATGTAACATCTTTTCATGTTTGGTCCTGGATTATATTTCATTATTCTTGACATTGTCCTTTTGTCTTTGTAAAAATATCTTTAAAAATCTGTAGAGTTGAGGTTGCAATTGCCAATTTCTGATTTTAATTTATGCTGCAGATCCTATAGTATGTGCAATGCATTACATATTTGCTCCGAGGTGATGTGCACCACAAGCTCGGAGATAATCGGTCATAATCATAGGCTAGCAGTGTGTAAAGGATGATATAAATGAGGTAAAAAGGAAGGTAATGTTAAAACATAAATATATTCTTATAGATAAATATGGGTTCAGGTCAGCTGCATATTTTCTCTGTCAAATTATGATATCAGTGGAAATACTGAAGAACTTACTCTTTTATACGCCTCGATATTTTAACTCTTTAAAAATGAAATCTCTAAACATTGTTTTTTTCAAAACGCACACTTGCAGCCAATAATATATGCATGTATGCTCTGCTATGATATATATTTTTTTACATTTTTAAACTCGCATGCTTCAGATTTACAGCTGCAGCTCCAAACTAACAGGAACAAAAAGCAGAAGAAAAAAAAACAGCAGCAAAGTTCCTCTGAGCTCCAACTGCTTGGTTTAAAATGTTAGATCAGAATCAAACAAATGTTCCGCTTCATACCTCTACATGCTCTCTCAGTTTGGACGGTGAACTTTGGTGGGCTGTAATGAAACTTAAGCGAGGTAAACACAGTAAACAAAACACCTTTGCTCTGTGTTCAACCGTGCAGACAATACACCACATACATGTGTGGCAATGCCACTTAGAGAAAACACACACAGAACTGCAGGAACACAGTTTACTGACTCTGGGATTACATTTTAGAAAAGAAAAAAAATCAAAAACCAACTACCCTCACAAAAGTACTTTACACACCCTCCTGTCTTTCAAGTCAGCCATCCCCTTATTCTCCAAAACTCCTTTAATTCTGACTAAAAACAGAAAGTCAGTCCAGGCTCTGTCGGGGTTTCTCTGGTGGTCACTTGTGGAACTGCAGCCTGCAGTCGCTGCCACAGATGAATGAGAAAACGCCCAATGTTAAAAAGTGATACACTCATCCTCTAAAGCTGTTTTTTGAAGAGTCAGCCAAGTTGTCAGCTGTTCCCAACATGAGGAGCGGCCTCAGTTGGTGGTTAGCTTTATTTTTATAGCATGTACAGCTTGGTAGAGGGTAAAGTGTGTGTGCATGTGTGTATGATTGAGAAGGATCGTGGAGTTTGAGGAGCAAGCTAAGCTAAGCAGGACGACAGTGTCAAGACAAGGTGTGTACGTGTGTGTGTGTACGTGTGTGTGCGTCTCTTGAGTGTCATCTGGGCTCGGCTCCAGCTCAGGGTTTCTTCTTACCCTCAGTGGGGGTTGCCTTTTTGTCTGCAATGAATGTGCGTGTGTGAATGTGTGTGTGTTTGCATGCACGCTCGTACAATCAGAGACCCTCGTTTCCCTTTCCCACGCAGGCTTTGGCTGAACTGAGACGCGACTGGCAGCCATCAGTCTTGTGTGTGTGTGGGAGTGTGTGTGGGAGTGTGTGACGTTGGCTGTGATGAAAGGCAGGGGAGCCAGTGAGGACCTGTCTGAGGCCCTGGTAATCAGGGCCAGCCCAAGCTGACATCCTCCTCAAGCTGACAGTGCCTTCCTCTCCTCTCTTCACACACTCTCACATGCACACACACACACACACTTTAACACACTAAAACACACTGAATGGTCGGTCTGTACTCAGCCACAACATAATCCAACATACCTTTGGACCTTTTTTTCTTTTGCGTCTTTAAAGTTTCTGGAAACTCCAAACCCAAATGAGTTGGCATGACCAGAAACGAAAGTAAAAACTTTTTACCACAAATTTAAATGTTCACACACTATTGGAAAATGACTTCTATGTTATTGTGAGATAATGCTCCATCCATTTATGTACTGTATGTTAGAGAGTGAAGCCAGGACACACAGTTTTAGTTAGCCCTTTGTATTTCTCTTCAGCAACATAAAAGCCTTTTCACAGGACTCATTTTTACACCGATTGAATATGCGGTCTCTGTAAATAAAATAGACACAAAGCCAGAAATTACAACACAATGTCAAACAACAGTGTATAAGCCTCAGTAATGTGATATGTAAGCATGCTAACCACAGTAAAATAGAAACAAACTTAATGTAATTCGCGAGCCATACTCAGTTGAACAAACACACATTTAAAATATACATGGTTAATACACAAAAAATGGGTTAAATCCCAAGGATCCCGGACTGCCCAAACAGGTGCCTGAACAAAAACGTATTTAAAGTGGTTTTACACATAGACAGAAAAATAAAACATAGGGAATTTATAACACACCCTAAAAATGAACAATACTCACGTATAGCAACAACAAACCTAAACTGAGCGCAGTAAACAAAAAACATAAAATGATTAATTCAATTAGATCATAAATGTGACACAACAAAAGAATATGTTTCACCATGAGCTTTGCTTATTTTTGTTATCTGTGTAATTATTGCACTCTAATTTTTCAGATGTTTGAAGAAAACATAGCAACAAAAATAGGAAGGGAAGAAGTCACACAGCACACTGCCAAAGAGGTCCAGATAGGATACATGCATGACCTCCACAACAATATTGGGTGAGGAGAGATGGAGGTGGGGGAGTTGATGGAGGAGGATTGGAGGGCTGCACCTGCATCTCAACCCCCAAAAAGGGAACATGAAAAGTTGTTTGCTAAACATGGACGATTTGCCAATTCATTAGCCTCTTGCACATTACTCAACTCAACTCAACTCAACTGTATTTGTGAACCACTTTAAAACAACCATAGCTGAACAAAGTGCTGTATATAAATAGACAAAACAATACAAACATAAAAACAATCAAAAAAAGATTAAAACAATGAATAAAATAAAAGCAGATATTAAAAAGTAAAATATAGTTTCAATGTTTTTAAAAACTAATTCAAAAACATAGAAACAAATAACTAAAAACAAACCATAAAACACTAAAACAGGAGCTGAGTCTCATGCAGGGTTGAAAGCCAATGAATAAAAATGGGTTTTAAGATGAGTTTTAAAAATTCCGCACATTACATGGAACATTACAGTTCCATATCAGTGCTGGGACAGTTTCCCCATCACTGCACTTGTGCACTTACACATTTGCACCCATGGACAGCGTGAGGTGAATGATTTATTGTGTGATTACACACCGCGTTATGTTGTTGTGGATGGACGACATGCCCTACATACGGAAACAGATCGGGACGTTTCAAACATCATTGTCATCACAGCCTTTGTACTTGCATTAAGAAGGACATAGCGCAATAGTTTTGCTAGATATCATTGCTCATACTCGAAGGTCAAAGGTTACCCAAAACAGGCAGAAAGATCTGTGTTTCTACAGTCTGTGGTGTGAATTATTAGCTTCACTGCTCCCACAGTTTTTGGAGGTATTGTAATATTTGGTTTGCTTAAAGAAGATGTGCAGAAATACAGATGAATTAATGCCTCCATCTGTGTGTTTATCGGAAGTGATGCATAAAAGAGCCTGAAGAGGTGGAAGGACTCCGCCTCACCATTGTGCCTCCACGTTACACAACACAGACGAGACATAACAGGGGTGTAAATACCCCACCTTAAAATAACAGAAAGATACAAGTTTCCTAAGTAACTAGCACAATGTAATAAATCACACATTTACATCCACATCAAACACCACTTTGAATCAGTGTTAGAAACAAACTAGCATTACCAAAAGCACATGGTACGTCAAAGTCAGCTGAGTTAGGGTTAATATTATGTCAGCTGTTTTTGACTTGACCTATCTTCTGGTATTACACCAGGTGATGTCTTCAAGTTGGTGTCCTATGTACACTCCAGTCCACGCTGCTCTGCTTACAGTTTCCAGCAGCTGGTGGAGGGGACTTCTCAAAGCCAGGACGAGCCTACACTGCTCTGCACAGCTGGAGCAGACTCCGCTCTCTGCACAGCTCTGCTAGGCTAAAGTTGGACCATGATGCACCCGCCCCCACCCCCCCTATAAGAATAATTAGTCATCTTCACTCAACATAATTCAGTGCATATTTTAACAATGAGAGTTAATCTTTACAAAAAAAAAGTAAGAGAATAACTAATGAATGCTTCTTGTTGAAGTAAAGTGAAGTTCCTTTTCCAATAGACCTCACTGCATGTGTGTTATCTGAGGATTTATGGGCGTACACGCAGGGTTTGAAATGGTCTTTTAGGATGAGGGTGTGGCAGGAAATGAAAGTGTAAACTCACCTCTGTATGTGCGTTTTATCAGTTTAGTGCACGTCTGTGTGAGTGTCCTTGTCTGTATTGTTTGTGTGTATGTGTGTTTGAGTGTGTGTTTGAGTGTGTGTTTTCAAAGAGGGTTAGGACAGAGGAAACAGGTGAGAAGGAGAAGGAAGAGAGAGCGAATGCAGTGGAGGAGAGAGAGGAAAAAGTGAGAGAGATGAGAGGAGTGAGGAGGAAGGCTGTTTTATTTTATACTGCGAGGGCCTGTTGCTAATTAATGTTTCTTGGTCGGTTTCTGTCGGAGCTGAGTAATGTTTTTGATCTTTATGCCTGATAACTGCATACCTAATGAGATTTCAAAGCTGGTGGAGATGGGAGTTGCTGCTCCCTGCAATTATTGACAGATGCCTTTTCTCCGCCACTGGCTGCCGCGCCATAAATCCTTCCTCAGTAATGAGCTTGAGAAGTGCCACCCTGCCAGTGAGCTAATGAAACCGAGCAAGGGGGGCCGCCCGCCTGTATGTGTGTGTGTGAGTGTGTGTGCGTGTGTGTGTGTGTGTGCGCGCGTGCAAAGGGGTGCATCACACTTCTCTGACACATTTTTTTCTCTTTAAATGCACTCTGCAGATGTCAGCCACCTCGCCTGCTAGCGACAAAGAGAGAAAAGAGGCAGGAGAGAGATAGTGGTGGAGGAGAAAAAAAGGATAGTAGGAGCTTTAGCTCTCTGTTTCTCCACTTTATGAGAAGTTTGAGGGTGGTGCTGGGGGGGCGCTCAGGTTACAGCCCCATGTTAAGGCTATTTGTCTGGGTTTGGCTGTTTTATTTGAAATACTAGTATCTCTGTTGCCAAACCGGACTGTGATTGATATTGTTGCGCCCCCCTCCGCCGCTCGCCTGCCCGGATCCATCAGTCGCTTCTCTCTCTTTTTCTTCCCCTTTTCCTCGATGAACTCTGCCTCTCTGTAACTCAGCCAGAGATGGCAAAAGGCTTAAAGAGAGAAAGTGGCACATGAAGAAAGAAAAAGCTCCGGGAAAAGCGGGAGGAAATTGAAAAGGAAAAGCAGGGCGACCTTTTCTTTGCTCCAAACATATTTGTGCAGACAGCACGTCTGGTGTTGGTTTCATGTAAACATGAGCTTCCATATCAGACGGCGCACTGATGTGGTGTGTTTGCACGTTAACAGGCACACGTATGTTTGTTGCATGCTTTTCCAGAAACCAAAGAAGGAGAGCAGCGAGCAGACGAGTGTCGTCTCACTGCCAAACAGTCGATTTCCCCCCTCTCATCGTCCACACCATACATCACAGACCCACCCTTCCCTCCTGACACAAAGACGTGTGTCATTTATCAAACAGGGCCTTGCCAGGGCCTCACGTGTGTGTGTGCGTGTGTATGTGCGCATTGGTGTGTAGGGCATTCCTTCCTCTGCTGCCTCTGAGGTCCACTTCTCCGGGGAAAGAGGGAGAGAGTGAGGGATGAAGAGTGAAAAAGAGTGAGAGAAGCAGACAGAGAGAGAGAGGGGGGGGATTACTGGTGCTGAATGAGTGAGTGAGTGAGTGTGTGAGAAGTTGGAGGAGTGCAGGAAGAAATCATTTGGACTACTTTCCCTAATGTTCTGGCCTGACTTCTTTCCATATCCCCTCTGGGTAATCAGTAAAAAAACACTGTCTGCATTTGATATTGATAAAGCAGCTTTAAACACTATTTTACACACAATTACTCACATATCACATCATAAATACCTATAGATTGTAAATCATACCTCCATTAATCTCCTTGATGCATGTGCAGGCATGCTCTTGTGTGTTTGTGTGTCAATAACAATCTGTGTATGTCTCTCTCCATGCTCATGTGTCTCCAGGGTTGCTTGCAGGCGTGTATCAGTCACAATGTCTTATCTAACACACACACACACACACACACACGCGTGCGTACACACAAACTCACGTCAAAGTCTCTCCCATGGGTTGTAGCAGTACAGTCCCTCTCTCTCTTCACTCCTCTCTGATTCAAAGGGAGGCCTTATAGAAGATGGATGCTCCTTAAAAAAAATAGCCCGTTGATGGATATGAATCTGGCCCTGCCATTCATCACTGCTGTATTATTTAGACTGGATCGCTACAGAGCTGTAACCTGAGCTACAGCTGCGAGTGGGTGAGTGTGTGTGTGTATGTGTGTGTGTGAGGACACGGCAGGTGAAGGAGGCAGGAGGAGGGGGTGGGAGGAAAAGGGGACAGTTGGGGTCTCAACAAAGGCAGGGTGAGGAGAAAAACAGGAAAGTGAGGAGAGGGAGGGACTGAACTAAGAGGGAAATAAAAGACAGAAGAAAGAGATTAAAGGATGTGACTTGAGAGGTCAAAGGTTAGAGCTGATGATGGACCAGAATCTCTTCTGTTTGTGGACTCTAGAGGGAGTAGATTCAGTCTTATTTAAAATCCACTAAAGTTACCTTCTACATATGTGCGCAAAATTAAACAGTGTAGTTTGTTAGGAAACTGTGCAACGATTGAAAGAAACCCTCTTGAATAAAAGTGACATTAGAAAATCAGTTTTAGTTGCTATTAAATGGTGCATTATATCACTTTATTTCATAGTTTTCTACATATATTAAACACTTCTCTGCATTTTCAGGCTTCTGAATTTCTAAAATACTCTGTCAAGCCACATTCTTACTTGCACTTAACTCCAACCAGTTTTTTTTTTGCCTGAGCTACGATAAAAAAACAAACAAAAGACTGGATTTTCATGCAGTCTTTACCTGAACTTTTATGTGTATAGGTACCTGCATGAATAAAAAGGAGGAAAAAGATTCACTATAGCATCTGCCTCAGCTTTGCCTCCATCTTGGATTGTGTATTGTATAAATTAAATTTGTATACATATTTAAGAATTTGCAGAAAATGATAATTGAAGATACTTGTCATCCCTCAAAAGATTTAGGAAAAAACAAAACATTCAAAATATGTTCAAATAGTCTTGAATTGTACTACCTCACCTCAAGTTATCATTAACTAGATAATGTTTATCATTTTAATTATATCGCGTACATGAATCATTTAACACTCAGAAAAGTTCACTTCAAACTAAATCATTCAAGTCAAAAGTTTAATCACCAGATCCTCGACTGTTCAGGTACGAGGGAACCGCATGTGTGTTTTGTTTTGCAGCACCTTAGCTGGCCGTTGAAGGTCGATCTCAGACTCTGAGATTTTTATATATCCTGATTCTCAAACAAGTTCATCCTCCCGCTGTCTTTAGCAACCACTGCTTTTTGATTCGGCCTACAAATTGGCGCTTTTGGGGCAACATCCCTCTTTTCAAAGCTGGATCATCTCCGTGTGAGTGAGAATGATTATATCCTGAAACACAATCTGTTACCATCGTGGTGTTTGTGTTTTGTCTCCTGGTGCTGTTTATTCACAGCTCATGCTGCTAGCTTAGCTTGTTGTGATGTGTGAATACCGCATGTGTTCGCAGTGGGCATGCGCAACAGTCTTGATCAGATTCAGGGATTGACATCTTTTACTTGGTTGTTGCAAAATGAGTGACATGATATTGTCATTTCACACATCCTGAAAATAACCAATAATTAACAATCATTTAGTGTCATGTCCTGTGTACTTTCTGACCTCCTGACCCCACTCTCCATTCCCCCCTCTGAATGGGAAAACCTCAGGCTAAAATAAGCAATTGATGGATAAATTCAGGTTATGAATTGTCCCTGTGTTTCCTGATATTGTCAGGAAGGTGTGTCAGGATTTGGGTTAGCTTGGTATGTAAATGTGAAAGTAAACTCTCCACCCAGGATCAGTTTGGGTTCAGTGTCACTTCAGCACTTGGACTGCAGGAGCGGGCCTTGTCATTGAATGGATGGTAATGATCATTTCTCTAATTGGTGAAGCATCTGCAGTTTACAACCATCTTTTCTGGTCACTCTTAATCTGCTGGAGCACATGAGGCAGTTATGTAGTGATCATGCTGAGAGTGGCAGATAATTAAAAAACAAGACCTCACTGCGGACAAATCAGTGTACATACAGAAGATCATACGACAAGAGTTGTTGTCACTCTGCATGTATTTGTGGAACGTAACACATGTTTCATTTGGATGGTAGTGAAGTGGTTGACTGGTAAAAAAAGGGGTTGATAATCAAACGTACATTTGGAGTGATTCACAGTCACATTAGTCCATGCTTGCACGAGAGATAGTGAAGTATGATGGAACAAAACAAACTGGTTTGGGCTCATTTTCACACTCCCTCCTCACGCACACATGCATTTTAAATAAGAAGCGTTACATTTGGGGATTTTCGCCATGCTCCCTGCCTCCCTCCTCCTCTCCCTCTCCTCTATCTCTCTCACTCTTCCCAGGTTTCTATAGCGCCAAGGCAGACGTGGTGATTTATTGTGGCCATCCATCTCTCGTACTCATCCATCACCGGCCGGTTGCTAGGCGATCATGGCAGCAGCTGTTTGCTTTTGAGTTCAACAGAGGGGCCGTCAGTCAGCGGCGGCAGGTGAAAAGCATTATGAACGCGCGTTGTCACGGCGAATAATTAATCAAAGGCGGGAAAGATAATTAAAAAGATATGACCCTTGTTGGTACTTGGTCCTGGGTTTGCCCGAGGAGGGAGGGAGTGAGGGAGGGAGGAAAGGGAAAAGGTGAAGAGGACTCTTTCTTTGTAGTCGCTTCTTTTCTGTATCACACCGCTTGAGTTCCTTATGATCTATCCGTCCTTTAAGCAAATCCATCTGATGATTTTAGACTTTTTTCTGTAGCTTCAACCCCCCTCCCCTCTCTCAGCCACTCAGAGGAACATGGAGGAGTGTAAGCAGTGAGTGCTGATAAAACAGACCCTCCTGTTAGTCAGTGGCACTGCTCCATTTAATTAGGAGGAGATGGGCTGGAAAAGAGAGAGAAAGGATGTTTTTAAAGGTCTGGCTGAGAGAATGAAGGAGTGCTTCAAACTGCTGTGGATTCATCTGTCACTTGCAGTGGTGCTGGTACAACTGCAAACATTTGCACCACACCCACAGACATCCACCTGTTAGGTTAATGATCCATGACTGGTTATTTTTAGATAGTTTTACAGAGCAAGAGCATAGAGAACGATAAGACAGCTTTTTGCATGTATGAATATGGGTGACACCATGAGAGACTGTCTCACAACTTTTGACTCTAATTTTTGCTATTTAAGCTTTGGTTGAATTGTTCACCTTCAAGAATTGTCCCTGTTTCATCAGTATCATCTTCAAATTGAGGGTTCAAGTTTTGGGATTAGAATCATGAAAGTTACCGTGAGGAATGCAACGCAGAAAAAAACATGATGATGCAGCACAAGCTCATATGAAATTTGAAGTGGTTTGCCTTTTTTTGTTTAAGACTTTTTAGACTTTTTTTTAGGACATCCTGACCCTCTTTCATTGATAGTTTCTCATGTCATAGCTATTTTTGATTTGGCGAGACAGAATGCTGTGTAGAGATTATGGCGATGCCAACGACAACATCACTTTACTTTTGTACGATTTAAATTAGTTTGATGGATTTTTGAATAAAGTGAAAGGCATTTTAACATAAATGAAGTAGGCTGCAATTTATGTCGATGCCTTGTAATAATACAGCAAACTAACAAGACTGTTGGATTTTGTAAAAAGATACTATTTAAGTACAAACAGCACAATATAAGCAAAGACCGCTTTGTCCACGGGGGGCGCCAAAGTTGACCACAACTAAAAGTTCCTCTCACAGGAGCTTTAATACATTTGTGCGGTTCATGGTCAATAAGTGAGATACATTGGAGCTGGAAAATGTTGGGGTGGACCCTCTGAGACTATTACAAGCATAAATTCATAAATTTCTAAAATAAAGGATAAATCTGCAGGCCTTGTTTTACCGAGCCAGCTCTCTGGGGAAGAGGGAAGTAACTAAAAAAATTACTTGGTTTATTGGTTATTTATTGTACAAAGGATAGCTCCAAAAAAGGAAGACAAATGTAGCTTAAGAAAAAAAAAAATACTAAATTGACCAATAAAACAAAAATACAAAGAACTGAGGGAGAGGGGGCAATCTACCTACAATAATCCCTGAAAAGTCGTGAAATCCCAAGTAAGAGCTAACTACACATACAGAAGACAAGCTGGTTCCAACAAAATTATATAAAACAACATATTTTTTTTCTGTATTTGTGGCTTTTTGAATTTTGTAACAGTGAAATATCGCTGTGATCCCCAGACATATGTTCATAGATTGTAACTCTTAAGTGTAAAAACAAAGTACTCAACAGATATTGAGGTTACAACACAGAGATTTCTTCCATTTGTTTTCTTTATCAAACAACATAGAATAGCAGAGAGGTGAAGGTAAGGAAACTCATGATGGTAATTCAGAAGAAAAGAGTGAAATTTCACCTATTCAAGTGAAACACACAGACTGAGAGTGTAGAAACAGAGACAGCGGCAGCAGCAGCAGATGGAGCATCATTCAGCATTGAGCATTTTGCTTTCTACCTTTTCTGCCACTCTTCCAGGAATGATTTAGCCCACAGCGTTGCCCCAGGTTATAACCAGTCTCACTGAACTCGCTCTCTTTTACACACTCACACACATCCTGCCTTGTAAACATCAGACAACCCAGTGACACAGAAATAAAAGTCTCTGTTTGATTGAACCAAATGAAAGAAAACAGGCTGTTTAAAGACACACCAGTACACAGAAACACAAGCAACACTCAGCTGGAGTTTCTAAGAGAGTGTGTGTGTGTGTGTGTGTGTGTGTGTGTGTGTGTGTGTGCCTTTCATTAGCACTTATAACCCAGTCAATAGTCAGTTGATTGGTTAACATGCAGCTATTGATTCATTGACTAGTATAAGCTCGGGTCTTTAACTCCTCCCCAGACACAGCTGCGCTTGCTTTAACCATCACTGTATGAGTCAACTCTCTACTGTCACATTTACTGTTTATTACCTTTAATTTGGCTTCTTTCAGTGTGAATATTCATGAAACACCATCTCATCTCACCAAGAATGACCGGAGAGGTGGGGGTTTCTGAGGGACCCATGAATTGTTGAGGATTCCTGACCTCTTATCAGCCAAATATCAAAAATGTGTGTTTTAATATCTCCCTTGTGTCATATGGGCTTCGTTTTACTCGGCTGCACTGTCACCACATGGCTTAAGCCAAAGCAACCATTACATATCTCAGCTAAGAATTTCAGATATTAACAACCATAGATCCATCTTCCCTGACCTCCATCAGGGGGAACTGAAGCTGTGTCACTCAGGAATGAAAGCAAAATGAGATATCCATTATTCAACGATAAAAGATTGCTGAGATGAAAATTAGACTCACTGTGAAACGATGCACCAGGTTTTAATGTAAAAGATGGTGGGATGCATTTATGCGTATATTAAAATCAGTAAGCACTGGCTTTGAGATAGTGTCTATCTCAAAGCAAAACATTTAAAACACTTGAAACCAAAATCAAGACGATAACCGTTCATCAATAAACAAAGATGAAAGGATTAAGAGCAAAAACACAAGACTGAGATCAAAAAATCTGACCCTGCGTTTTTGTCTTGAAAGAGACAGACTAAATTATCAGTCCCGATATTAATCCATCATATTTCTATTATATTTATTTATTATATATATTTATTTTCCCCCACTGTTTGACTCAGTCATACTCCAAATTTCCTCAATGCACTCCTGCAACAGGATAAGTATTTCAGTGCTGATTTTTGTAACTTTTCTGTAACAAGTTGTTTGCAATGAATGTTTCTTTTTCATTACCATGTTTTTTCTCCGAGCATGTCAGTAACCGAGTCACAACCAACAACTAAAGTGACATTCATTTAGTATTTGACATTTTTGTCTGTTAACTTTGATTGGTCCAAACCTCAGTATAAACAAGTTAGGGGGCAAGAGGAAAGATGTTCAATTACTGCAAAAGAAAAACAGCAACAACAAAAAAAACATTATTCAGATGATTGCAATTGAAGTCAAAATTATCAAACATGATTAATTACTTTTTGGGGGGTTATCTGTATCACTTTAACACTTTCAAATAAAAAAGTAAAACTTTTATATTATTTCACCTTTTTTTTCTTGTTTATTAAAGTTTCCCAACTCGCTGGCCATTCAAACTAAATGTATTAGCACCCGCTGTTTTCATGCTCACTCTGTCCCTCTGCTTTACTAACACACACTCCTGCTCCACCTTCTCCTCTCTCTTACTCCACTCCCCCCTCTCAGACTTTGTTTTTGCATCCGTCTGAGCTCATGATGATGGTAACCTGAGTGTCCTGCTATGAAGAAAAAAAGCAAAATGATAACATCATGGCAACAGCACAGAAATTGTTCGGTTTCCATAATTTTAATCCAAGTGGTATGAGTCTCCCAGCCTAAGTAGAAATCAGATTTTGTCAGATTATTTTAGGTTTTGATCTGAAAGTCAAACCTGTTTCCATAGGTACTGCAGTGCATCACACATAATGGTTGTGTTTTTATTCCAAGTCTCAAATTATAACAAATACCCCTATAAATGCTAAATATAGAGTGTTTGTTTCTGAGTAATATTGGTTAAAACATCCAGCTAAGGCAGTAAATCTGGGTATTATGCAAGTGAAAGTGTAAAGAGAGTGAAACACGACTTCACAAATTAAAACTCTCGGTCCAAAATGTTTGTAATTAGTTTAAAGGGAAAATGTTTTGACTCAAATGTCATGACTGCTACTCCGCGCTTTAGACTCAAATCAAATCTTAAACAGCTGCCAAAAGTCACACAGTTTGTTGCAAAGCATTCAAGCTAGGTCCAAATAAGTTCCTCTTTATTAAACTGTGATTAAGTTCAGCTTCTGAATGAAATGTCTCATTCATCAACATGTGTGACACCATATCCATTCAGTCTGAGCTTATTCAAAGACCAGAAAATGTTTCCTCAAGGCACATCTTTTTCGAGCTGTCTGCTTAAATTTATCAGCGTTAAGTTTGATAAATGCATTGATTGTTGTGCTCCCACTGCCCAGGGTGAGGGGCTACAAATTTAGTTTGTTGTCATGTGTGTGAACGTCTGGAAACATCCACATACTCTTCTCACACTCTGAGACTAGAGGTATTTTTACTGTGAGACCATGTGACCAAAGGGGGTTTTGATAAAAGGGGTTTCAGTCTGCCTCATGAATTCAGTGTCTGGAATTAAAAACACACAAAAGAGCTCAGTGTGTTTTACAGAAAACCTGGACATGATCTGTGTGTTACACAGACTTTTTAGCAGCTTTGCCTGGACGTGTCAGAGTGACTCTCATTGTGTGTGTGTGTGTGTGTGTGTGTGTGTGTGTGTGTGTGTGTGTGTGTGTGTGTGTGTGTGTGTGTGTGTGTGTGTGTGTGTGTGTGCTTAAGTTAGACACAGAAAAGGGTGTCACTGTCTGTCTTAGAGGAAACAAGAGTTTGACAAAGTCCCGACAAGACTGTGTGTTTATGGATTCCACAAACCTGATACAAATGCAGACCAGCACACACACACACACACACACATATGTGCACACACACAGATTTTGCTCACAGCATGTCTACATGTGTGTGTGTGTATGTACTGTGTGCTCAAGACTTATGTTGTAAATCACACTAATCAATTGTGGCCTGTGTCAAGACATGCCAGACACAGCCAGCGGTCTGTTTTACATTGGGGGAGTGTGTGTGTGTGTGTGTGTCTTTGTGTGTGTGTGCTGCTGTCACATGATGTCCTGCACACAGCTGTCACAAATCAGTTATATATCTCCAGCTTCACAGTTAGTGTCTGCATCATGTTGGTGTGCATGATGTGGAGTTTGGGCTGTAAAATGGTCTGAAAATGTGATTTTTTTTAAGATCAACATCCGCTTAGCGTGAAAATATCGTCTCCAAAGATTAAACAAGTTGTCATAAGGTTTGTTAGCATAGAGGAGTGTTTGACAGTTATCCAGTCAATAAACTACTGTCTACTCTGACACATACACACACACAAACACACACACACACACACACACACACACACACACACACACACACACACACACACACACACACACACACACACACACACACATACACTGTTGTTGTTTTTTGCATTTAGACAAAAACCAAAGAGGAAAAAACACAAAGTCACACTTTGTTATTGTGTTTTCATTAAATGCTTAGAGTATTAACTTTGATCATTCTTGACTAAAGTGCAAAAATTCACTCCTGCATGGAAGTGGTGAGACACTGAGATTAAGTTCTATAACATGTTACACAATAGTGGCTCTTCTATGTAATACGATGTGATATGATGCAGAACAAGACAATACTATACAATATGATTAGAAGCAGTACACACAATACTAGATAATACTTCACATACTGTGATATGAAATAATACAGTACAGTGCAATTAAAGGCAATACTACACCACAGGGTGTCACATATGTTATAATTCTAACCAATACTTTACAATAGAATATAGATGATAAGAACTTAAAAGCTGTGAAAAAAAGAGAAGAAAGTTCTATTGAATTTCCCTTTGGTGGATCAATCAAGTCCTTCTTATCTTATATGGTTGATAACATAAGACATGACAAGACACAAGATGATTTACAATAGGATATCATACATTAAGAAACAATAGGATGTTACAAGTTGAAATTCTCTCTGTGATTTATTTCCTTATTGAATTGCATTTGATTATATGAGTCACAAAAAAATAAAAAATAAACGTTTAAAGAGTTTGCCAACTTACTTTTTTTTTATTTATGCCGAAATTAAAGATAAGAACACATGCCTTTAAACACCCTTCATTCAGGACATTTTCTTACACATAACATTGTAAATGTAATAATTGCACAAAGTTGTGCGTAGTTGGAAACAACATGAGGACATTTTAAGGATCAAGAAAGAGAAAGAGATGAAGAATAGCAACCCATAATGCACCTGTGCTTCATCTGAGCAGGAGTTGGTGTTACATAGAGCACAAAAAAAATCTTACTCTTCATTTCGAATGCAAGTGTGTGCACGATTAGCAAACTGTAGCATAAAAATGGTTTCATGGCTCACTGCATGAAAATGCTGTCACAAAGTAGTGTAAGGTCCAAATGAAGCTCCGTTTTTACTGGCCTGGTGGTGCCTTCTTTGTTTCTTAATGTGAAACAAACTCTGAAATGGTGGGGACTGGATCAAAATTTTGTTTCATTTTAGTATTGAGCTCTTCCTCTCTAGTATTCGACCCGATGTGCAGCAGCAATTGCCTCCAAAGTGAAACACATGATTGAAAACTGTTGCATGAATAAAAAGCGCTGTTACACGTGACACTTTTGAAAAGATAATTGTGGGGCACTAATGAGAGTGAAATGACGGAAATCAACATCTTATCTCCCAGAATGGTGAATAAATCAAACAGGATTTTAGGAAGTTTGTGTTCTCTTTACACTGACCACTTAAAAGTAGGGGGAAAAAACAGATTAAAATAGATAAAGTTTAACTTTTTGTACGCATAGCATTATCAAAAACAAATTGCATAGTTCCAGTAGTCTTTGCATGCACAAAAAAACAACATCTAACATCAAAGATGCAGCAGGCACATCTTATCAGAACAGTTTTCTTTTTGTCTAGCTTTAGATTTCAAACATTGATTGACCTGCGTTGTATCACAGCGGTCTTAATTCTTTCTTTTTACCCTTAAAACTTAGTGGCCCAACGATACAATGTTGTCACGATTTTTAACATTTTGCAATACAGTGAGTATTGCAATACAATATATTGTGATTTACAATTTTTTTTTAACCGTTTTAACTAATTTAGCATTTGTCTTTCCTTTAGATTTGTCTTATTTACACTGTATTTTATTTACATGTAGCACTTCTTGCTAACCTTTTATATATTTGTTGTACTAAATTTCTCCTGCTCTATGATGTCACCTCTGCCAACATCACTGGACAAACAGTTGGTTTTATTTTTCCATTATCATAGATTTAACTTCATATTAAGAATTAATTTGACAAATCGATACTCGGTCAGTGAAACAATACAATGCATAACCAGACAAAATATTGCAATACCATGCTGTATCGATTTTTTTCTTCCACCCCTATTTAAACTAAAAGCCTCGGTAGGTGCAGGAGCTGAAACCAGCAGTAGCCCACATCTTAATGTGCAAAACATTACATACAACTGCTTGTTTGCAGCAGGCGAAAAGTTTACTGAGTAATTTTAATTTTTTCTATAAAACAAGTCATATAAATAAAAATAAAATTGTGATGTTGTGACATGCACAGGGGAATCCAAAAACCTCTGTGATTCTGTTCGCTCCGCCCCATTGGTGGATATATCCATCATTCTGTCCTGGACTGCTCAGAGTCCTCAAATACTTCAGAGAATCATTCAAACCTCATCTTTACCCTGGAAATGCTTCTTCACAGTTACAGGACATGATTCCTCCTTTGCTCATGGGAACATTTGTTTCTAATCAGTCTAGAGTTACAGCTGTAACACGGACAGTCGCCTTCAACCCAACTTCATGGAGTCAACGTTTTCAAACATGTCAGCGCACATGACGACGATCCCAGGACTCTTCAATAAAAAAGGGAACAGTTAAAACAGGTCATGCACTATGTGTTTAGACACGTGTGTGTGTGTGTGCGCACGAAAGCATGTGTGACTGTGACTCTAAGCCTCATTAAATGAGCCTCATACATGGCTCACTGCTGTAAACATGCTAATATTTCTTAATGGCATCCTCCTACATTGATATGCATGTGAACTCAGGGCCGTTAACCCCCTCCTCTCCAACCAACCCCACCCTGCTGCTCATCAACAAAGACCAACACACACATGCACACTCTCCCCACCATTACAGGGCCCCCTGGCTCTCTGTTTTTCCATTAATATCAAGTGATTGAGCGTAACATTAGCCGATAAAGTGGAGACTAAGATGACATATAAGCCGTGGATGGAGGAATTAAAGCCTAATATAATCAGTCGGCCTTGCGTCGGGAAAAACTGCCGTTCGTCACTACGCCTGACATTTTGATTTCTGACGTTTCTAGCACAAGGAGCGAGCAGCAGCGGCGACAGATGGAGACTGATTTCTCTTTTAAGTAAGAAGATACTTAAGTGATTATTCATAAGGTTCCCGCATACACACTTTAACCTGGCACACATAAATACACACTTCAAAAATAAACATGCATGCACAGCATATTGATCCTCCACCTCTTAGGAAGGAGGTGTGTGTAGGTGTGATTACGGGTGAGTGTGTCTTTAAGCCCTCGGTCCGGCTGGTTATTTTCAGAGCAAGAGGAGAGCACATCAGTTTTTATTAGCTTAATAAATCACCTTTGTTGTCAATCAAGCAGCAGAGAATAATTGGATATGGTTGAAGCCTTGCGTGATGGATTATAAATCATTCAAGATTAAATTAAAAGATAATGCACAAACTTAATGGTTTGTGTTTTGCAGTCTAAATTGCCTCGGAGCAGTGCTGTTTTCCAGCTTTATTGCCAGCCGTTTTTCTTTGCTCTAAACCCCCTCACATTTTAGACCTTTTATTGCAAAGACAGAGTCTCTCTGCTTTTACATCTGTCTTCTGTTTGTTTTTGAGGAGTCCTCTTACTGTGGGTGCAGGATGTTGCAGATGTGCATTTACATGACGGTTTGGCCCACATTGTTTTGTTAACATTTAAAAAGCCTGAATCTGTCTTTGAGAGGCTTTCAATCAGCTTACAGCAGATGCACCTCAGGCCTAAAGCAAAAAAAAGAAAAGGAATAACTGAGGTGGCGAAAAAAAAAAAAAGAGAAGGAAAGAAAGCGATACCCAGAGAGGCAGGCAGGAAGAGATGGAGAAAAGAGCTATATCATGTATATTAGGCTCCGGCCGCTGAATTTAAGTGTGTCCGTTTGCGTTGGAACAGAGCGGGCGTTATCATAATCGCCTCCTGCCTACTTGACAGGACCTTAAAGTGATCCTGTCATTTTATTTACACCAAGACCACTGCGTGATTTACCCAGAAACACACACTCACACACATGCACGCACAAACCTTCCCCTTCCTAACTTCCCCAGCGAGCTCAGTGGAGTAGGTCGGATGACATCTTTTGATCAGAGCTGTCCAAAGAGATCAGAGCAGACTGGCAGGTAATAGATACCCAGCAACTAACCAGACTGCACTGCAGAGAGTGTGTGATTTCTGACAAAGTGCATGTGTGTGTGCGTGCGAAGGTAGAAGACACATATATCTCTACTCTTTATTCTTACCAATCCTGCTGAAATAGCAAAAGCACTAGGATTACTGCGCTGGCACACCGTTTCTATCCAAACGTCCTTGTTTTCAGTTTCTTCTCCGTATACTTGTATGTGCACCTTCACCTTCATGAGATGTTTGATTGTTTTTTCTTTGTGAGTGATTAATTCAAGGAACAGGAAATGATCTTATTGGTAAAAGTGGAGGAAAGAGTTTGGACGTGTGTGAGGAGAATTCAGGATAGTGAGACGAAAGGTGAGCAGGTGAGGACAGAGGGAGTTCTTGCTCGATATGGTCTCGCTGTTAGCTAACTCTGCACATCTTTGACTTCGTTAAGTTGCAAGTATATGTTATTTAAAGCTGCATTTAAACTGTCCTTCCCACACAAAAGTATCAGACACACTTATTATTTTTCACTTTATCGTGCTACTACACAGTTTTTAATGAGTAAAGACACAATGAGCACTGATTGGTGCTCAGAGTGCAGGGGTAAGAATACATCAGTTTGAGTTATTTTGTATTCTTTTTCAAGCCCGAAGCATGTATTATCATTCAAGCATCTTAGTTTTGGCTAGTACCGTAAGGTTCAAAATGAAATATATAACAGATAGTGAGCACCTTAGAATTAACGTCAAATATTAGATTGGTTCACTGTGTGGTCTTGTGATCAGTAGAGCAGCATCGGTGCAGTATTTATAACGTGTACTTGTCTACAGCTGTTTCCATGTTTCAAGTCTAAGGCAGGATATTTACACCCCTTGAGCATCTTAGTACAAACATCTTAAAGGGGTGATGGTAGGACCAAGTGGTTCCCGGCATCAAAGGTGGTGACAGAGACGTTGCAGAGGCGAGGAGAGATCACTTTGCACTGACGGAGCAGGCAGAAGGAAACAGCACTCTGTATGTAACTGTGTATGTAAAGAATATTATGTTCATGTATAGCAGTGATTAAAATGTGAATCACACTCTTAAATACCGGCTTTGTAACAGTCCTGCTACACTGAGTACAAAAACACTCTGCATAGGGGTTCGTCTAGGTTCTTGAAATGTTCCAATTCATGGTCATGACCCAGTCATACTCTCTAACCTTTAATCCCTCCATCCATCCCTCTTCTCCATGTTTGATTGATCCATCCATCTCTCTGTTGTAAAGACAGGTATCTTTGTTCTTATACCTCATTTGTCATTCCTCTACAGCTCCTCCATAATTAACCAGCAGCTTTACAGTCAGAGCGGGGTCACATACAGCACAGCACTGCTGATGACAACTCTGTGTGTGTTTGCACACACGCATGCATGCATGCATACGTACGTGTGTGTGTGTGTGTGTGTGTGTGTGTGTGGGGGGGGGGGGGGTAAAATATTCACCTCTCTCATGTGTGCTCAGGATGCCAAGAGTCAGACATCGCTGGAAATCCTGACTTGATAATTAGTTTGCACACACTTTATTCACATTTTTGGAAAGAGCACAATTTTGTTGCTTCAAGACCACACTACACTGACAACACAAAAACACACATAAATGCAAATGCACACACACATACATCAGGGAGTGTGTCAGTAGTGCTCAGCCCAGGCGTACACCCTTGTATTGGCAGTGTAACAGCAGCATGTAAATACACTGTCAGCAGCTCCCCAGCTGAGTGGCATGGGGAGATGATTAGCCAGGCTGTACTCACACACACACACACACACACACACACACACACACACACACACACACACACACACACACACACACACACACACACACACACACACAAACATGCAAACACACAAACACAAACATTTACGGACATATACAAACGTGCTACAACAGCCTTGGTGTCTCTAAATAATCGCAGTATTTCAGTTTGCAGACAGACACACTAACTGTTGCCACTCCAAATCTAATCTCCTCTCCCTCTCTTTTCTTTCTCTCTCTCTCTCTCTCTCTCTCTCTCACACACACACACACACACGCACACACACACTCACTGTAAAAAACGCCTTTATGCTGTATATGCAAATATTATCGCAGCATTTCGAAAGGCATATTCTGGACTATGGTGCTGTTCATTACTTCTTATCAGTGTGGAGCTAGTTCATAAAAAAATATTCATATACAGTACAAACAGATACATGTAAAAGAAGGAGCATTTTAAATGGGAACAGCAAATAAAACTGGAGTCACTAACTGCTGCTGTGAAATATGGTACAGAATTAAACCAAGAAGATAAACAAGCACAGACCAAGAAGTAAGGGTAGTTTTGTTTTTCACATCACAGGACTGATACACGACTTAAACCTACAACTTATTTAGCATAATCAATTAAAACTTAACGTTATTTTTCATGAGAAACTATCCAGTGCTCAGCTTAAAGTAATAAGTCATCACATTTTAATTTAAAAAATTTCCTGGGAGTTTATTGTATTATCACCAAATTAGTAAAAATGCTTGTTTTGTTTACCTGAGTTTTGTTTTTATTCAGAATACGGTGTTAAAATGCACACAGAGAAACCTGGTTATTTACATCCAAAGAATACCTGCATTTTTTTATTTTTTATTTTACTTCTCTTTGTGATGTTCATTTTTAATTACACAAACTTGCAATTTTGAAGTCTGCGAAATTTAGACCTATCATGTTTTGAGACTCTTAAAGGTACACTGTGTCGTATTTATCAGAATTATTAGAACAAACTAAGTATAAATGGGATTAAATATTCATTAAATTTTTAGATCAGTATAAAATAACCTGAAAATAATGACTACCTTTTTCTTTTTTTTCCCCTTGTTAACTCAGAATGACCATTTTAAATTAACATATAGAGGGGGTCCTTTCCGATGGAGGCTGCCATCTTTCTACTGTAGCCAAAAACAGACAAACTAGTAACAGATGTATTTTCATATTGAGTAAAATGCACCAAAAGAAACTGTCCCGAGAGTAAAAACATGACCATTTCAGGATCATACCAATCCTGTATCCCAGGAGCTTCTTTTCCTTGAAGGCTACTGCTGCTTCACCAATGGGAGGAGTGAGCAAGGAAGCTCTCCAGTTTAATAGTCAAGTATTGGCATTTCTACACGCTGTACCTTTAAATCTCACCATCGCACCGCAGATATGGTGAATGGAGAAGAATTAAGATATACGTTTTACACATGTCCTCTACTCTATTTTTACCGCCCCTCTGTGAGCCTGTTCACCACAGACTCAAATATGGATACACTCATTGCTGTTGCCATGTTTGTTTTGCTGACACGTCACTTGGCTGCAGCTGTACCTGTGCAGCAGCTGTCAGAAACAAGGATATGATCTTTACATGCATGAATATAAAAAATGGTTACTTAAACAAACCTGATTAAAAACTGGAATACTCATCCGTGTAAACAAAGTAAGTTTATGGCACTATGACTATTAAATTAAAACCTCTGTGAAAAATTTCATCCACAGAGTCTCCTAAGACTGAAATTCAGATGGATAGCATGAGTTGATATGTAATGTAGAGACTTCATCATAAGCTTTATACTGTTGTATTTACCTCTGATATCTGTGCACATACAGTGTTCAAATCAATACTGGAGAATGTTTTATTGCAGTTTCTATCAGAGTCACTCCGGACTTTTACCTCTTTAAGGTTTTTCTCATTCTCATAAATGTTCGATTTTGGCCCACAGCCGAGATCTGCCTACTCTAGATCTTTTGAAGTGAACTTACACACACACACACACACACACACACACACACACACACACACACACACTACTCGAAAGGATTTGGAAAAAAAAAATGTTCATTTTGAAACATTTGAGATGCATTGACTTGTGCTTTAGAAATTTCCAGCTGGTATAACATAAAATCAATACAGCAGAGTGAGTGTAATGTTACTTTTGATGACCACACAGACATATTCCACGTTTGTACAGGACTATTGTGGTGATTTGTTGATGGCTCATCTCTCAGTCTGTGCAGTGATGTTTCTCTCTACATGGAGAAGCAGTTATTGCATCATATTTCAGTGATACTGTAAATATGTTACGAGGCGGGAAGTCATGTTGGCTGGTTGAAGGACTGCTCCATTCGTCAGGGGTCTGGTCGATCGAACACCTCCCGGGATCAATGGCACGCCTCGCCAATCCCAAGGCACTGACTGCAGACAGCCATGCCCCTTTAACCACCCTCGCTGCACACACACACACACACATATACGCACACACCCTACAAATCTGACCGTGTATGTCAAATCACAATAATTAAGCATTATCGATCTGAGATTCAATTAACTTCATTAATGTGGGTTGCCCTGCTGATTGGAGAGGGATGGGAAAGGAGGAGGGAGGTGGAGATTATAGGATCTCATCAAGTGGGAAATGGTGCAGGGGTGGATTTAAAGCAACACACGTTCCTGAAAAACAATTTCACACACTCACACATGAGGTGTATAAAAGCAGATTCAGACAGAACAGCTGGTTCAGCTGGGCTTACAGACATGTCCTAGGCTTTGTTTTGAAAATGATGTCCTGTTGGAGGCTGACGTGGACAGTCTGCCTCTCTCTCTGTGTCACACACACTCACACGTCCACCAATGAGACTGCACGGTCCAGGCAGAAGTGTAAACAGACAGCTCTGACGTGCCTGTGTGTCTGATAGGGCTGTTAAGTGGTTATATAAGCATGATAAACTGTTTCCTAACATCATAACATCTGCAGAGAGCAGAAGCATTTCCTCACTTTACACACACACGTACACACACACGTACACTCAAGTTACTGCAGCTACAAATCACTGCTTCATATTCCGAGTGTTTTGATAAGTCCAAATTTTCTGTTCACCTTCATTTTTGTGGTTTAGGAACAGGATTTTTGTACATTTAAAAGCAGGGATTTGTACTTTTATACAGACGTCATGAATCATTTCCTCTCTCAGAAACAACTGTGGTGTTCACTCGCTCCTCTCAGTTTCAAAATCAGCAATCTCCCCCGGCCTGTTCCTCTGAAAATGAGATCAAACCGTCTCCTCCACCCTGCTGACAATTCATCTGGAGCTCTGTCTGTCTCTCACTCCTAATTAAAAGAGCACCTGTATACCTGTTGTGTTTGGCCCTGGCTCATTTCGCCCCGGTGATGTTGTGTGTTTTTGCGCATGATCGTGTTCTTGTGTATTTACCTCGGGATCCCGGGTCATTGTGTTGTCACCCTCAGTACCTGGACCTGAGCCAGAGGCCTTGGGGTTCAACTCTGCACATTCATGTTTGTGCATTTGTGTGTGCTTGTGTGTTTGTTTCTGTGCGTGTGGCTGAGCCTTGACTTCCTTCCAAGCTCTGCCACCTTCCTCCTTCTCCTCCTCCTCCTCCTCCTTTTAGCCCCTCACTCTCCTCTCGTCTATCACACGTATCTTTGTCTCCTTTTTCCTCTCCTCTCCTCATTGGTCTGCACTCTAAATTCTGTCACAGATGCACTTAGCTATGAAGCAACAATAATACATACCCAACACAATAATGGACAGGGTGTAAAATGACCCTTTCCCTATTTTGCTCTTCTCACATAAAAATTGAACAAAAATTGTGATGTGCCAAGATTTGAATGGACTGTAGGGCAATGAAAAGCCACTTTCCTGAACCCTACAGTGATATTTCAGTTAGTTCAGCTGGCCCTGAAAGTCACCACTAGGTATGTGAAAGGATCGACATGGCAAAGCTGATTCTGAAGATGGAGTTCCTATTGGTACCATAAAAAAATGTGGAACTTACTACACAATTATCCACCAATTTCAGTATCTCTAATTTTTTGAGTAATATTAACTTCATATTTTTAGTATGCTCACAATTGTTTTGATTGGATTCTAAACAGTGTGAGGAGCGTTGCATCCGTTTGCTTCACGGTGCATCACTCAGGTGCAGTTAGTGCACTCTGATTGTAAACTGTGGCTAATTTTGTCTCCCATGCATGCTGTTAGGTAAATAATAAACAAACTATGTTCATGTATCTCTTTCTCCAGTCTTCTGACCACTTGTACATCACATGCATCATCCACCCATTCACACCACATTCACACACAAACGGCAGAGGCTGCTATGTATGGAGTTAGTTTTTGATGAAACCCATTCGCATACTACTGGTCACAGACTGCAAGAGTGGGTGGAGTCAAGAATCTTTAAGGCTCGAACCCCTGACTCTCCAATTAGGTGACTCGACCACTAAGCCACAGCTGTCCCATCATAGTGGGAGTCTGTGGTTGTAACTATGCAAATTTTTGGAGGATGGTGACCCAACAGAAGCCTGGTTTAGACTTTTTTGTTGACACTACGCCATAGTGGCCTAAGTCACTGTGGGCACTGAGTACTTGCATGAAGTGTTTGCAGTCACTTCAGCCTAGTCAGATTTATGATTTCTTTATTTATGATTTATCTTCATACATGCCTGTTTGTGCACTGGAAACCAAGATGACTGAATTTGAGTGGAGGAGATAAATGTTGCACAGCCATTGATCACACTACAATTAATGTGAAGGGGAAAAGAAAGGAGACATTGTGGGAGACTGTGACTAATGTACAATAATACCAGAGATTCTGTGGATGCAGGCAATACAATGCTACCCAGCAGTCACATTGCTTTTTTGATGCATTATTACATTTTTCAAAGCGATTCAAGCCAGTAAGTAGGCCGCTGTGAAAGTACATGACCCTAAGGTCTAAATGAAGACATATAGATAAGCCTCGACAAAGCAAATTTCAAGCAAAAAGGGCATAGTTTTTCAAATAAAAGAGTATTTTTAATAAATTAAGAATAATTAACAATTAAGTTAATAACAGTGTACGTATGTTAAACTGAAATGTGACATATTTATTTTATGGCGCCACAATAAAACAATACAACTTTGCTTTGGTTCAGAAGGTAAACTGAACCCCATCAAATCAGCTTATGTGTATGTATGTATGTGTGAGTGTGCATAGTAACTTCTAAGTGCTATCCATTTACTGTTTTATTGCCATATAGCAGCCACTAAATGTCACAGTGTTCCAACATTTCAACATCCCCTCATCCAGAAATCATGTGTGTGTGTCCAGGTAACAGGATTCTCCTGCACACTGAGGTTTTAGCCCTTATAGCACACACTGTTTCCTCTCTGATCCTCTGCATGTGTCTGTATACAGATCACACACTTGCAGGTACACGCACATACACACACAGGTAAACACACACAGATACACACTATGTTCCCATCACACAAAAGCAGCTAATTTGAAGTGGAGTGTGTATGTTGTGTTTTAAAGGAGATTTCACATCGATGTTGGCCTTGATGAGAGCGCTGGGCTGCTGTGTTCGGCTGTTTCCTCAGCCAGAGCATTGTTCTCTTAAACAGCTGTCGTTTTGGCTGATTCAGAACAGATGGCATGTACATGTGGGTTTGCTCGGCTGCACATATGTGCGGGCGGGTGGATGTGTCTCTGAGACAGAGTGGGGGAGAGGGAGAGAGGCAGGAGGGGGAGCTCTGAGGGGGGAGGGACTGCAGGTATGTGTTTGAGCGTGTGTGTGTGTGTGTGTGTGTGTGTGTATACCCGTTTGATATTCATAAATTTTACACCATGCAGCTGAAAGATCAACAAGGTTTGAAATAGTTTGACTCCACCAAATCAAAAGACAAACAACACTAACTCATACAGTGTGGACAGGCGTCATGTAGCCCTGCAGTTTTTAAATGCACAAAGCAGCATCAGCATGTAATGTAAGATATGATGTTTGAAGTGTGCAAGTGTATCCTTTTTGTTCACCTAAACGCTGAAGCAGACTGCATGTTCTAGAGAAAAGCTCCTGAGATCGCCTGAAGGCAAAGAGCTGTTAGGCTACAGCAGTTACAGTACAACTGTTCTGTGTGTGTGTGTGTGTGTGTGTGTGTGTGTGTGTGTGTGTGTGTGTGTGTGTGTGTGTGTGTGTGTGTGTTATTGTGAGAAAGAGAGTGTGTGTGCCAGTTTGTGCATGTGATTTGTAATGGGCTCTGGGATGTCTGTGTCTCGGTGCATATGTTTGTCCCACGGTGGTGTCGTATCATTGCCGATGGCAAACCAGCGGCCTGACAATGACAAAGACTGCTGTGTGTTACTGCAGATGCAGAAATAGCACAAAAACACAACCATACAACATGTAGTTTTTACTTAGAAAATGGAGCTGATTTCTGTGTAATGAGTCTGAATGATTATGGAGGCTCAAATATATATATATATTTTTTTGCCCATGCTCGCTAACCTGTGAGCATCGAGGATGTGATTGGCACTGGACAAAGAGGCAGGAAACCTCCTCTACCGGGAACACACACACACACACACACACACACACACACACACACACACACACACACACACACACACACACACACACACACACACACACACTCCCTAATATACAATCTATAATTTAGATTTTCTTCCAATAACATTTTACTTACATGTATATGAAGTTATGGGAAGTATACAGTACATCCCACATTTTCAGAACAGAGCCTCTATAGCTCTCGGCTCTAAATGGGAATTCTGCATTGTGCATTTGATTGGTAAAAACGTAATTATAGTCAGCACTGAATGCTTTAAGACTGACTGAGTAACTTCTGTCAAATTTATTGAAGCACAGTCCATGCAAACAAAGAGACCTAACAAACAAAGTCTAGATTTGGATCAACATGAAAGAGGGAGAAGAAAGAGACTTTACTGCAGCTGACCTCTGCAAGAAGAATGCACAGAGTAAAGTGGTCATGTTGTGTTTTCACTTGGCACTAATTTTCTTAGTGCGAATTTAGGTTCTAAGTTATAGGCCTCAGTGATATCAGAGTTGGCTACAGATTAGAGACACATAGGAACTGTGAGTCATATGTTAGTGGTACTATGCAACTTAGACTACCTGTGTATCTGTGTTCAGTTGGAAATCTGGAGGTGTGTGTGTGTGCTTTGATCAGAAGTAGTAGTTTCTTAGCTTTGTGTAGAGTTTTGACCTAAATGAAGCCAGAGCTTTAGTGATAGAGGGGCAGAGGAAGATGACCCAGGCAGTATATGCTGTATTTATGAAGTGCACAACAAAGGATATCGTTATTATTATCATTATTATTGTAATCATTATTGTTGTTGTTGTTATTATTATTATTAATATTATTAGATGTGGATATTTAATTTTGTAAAACCCACATCCTTTTCATTATCGTGTGTCTCTCTGAATTTATATAAAGATTCTGTCTCATCACTAGTATACAGGTTACCACGCTATCAACTGCCAAACTATTTAAAAAAAAAATGCACAGCATCACAAATACACAGCTAACATGGCTTAGGGCTTTTAATTTTAGACCTGTATTCACTGAGAATCTCTTATATTACTAAATTACTTATAACCTCCTTCTTCCAATCATTTTAAAGTGTGCAGCAATCACCACATTTCTTTGACGTTCATATAACTTTTTTTGTTTAGTGGTAGATTGTGCTGAGATATGTGCTTCTGTGCCACACCTATCCGGCTGACCAGCTTGCTCTGTGTTTACATACCAGCTGAGATGAGTGATGGCCTGTTACAGACAGGAATGTGAGGCACAAGGCCGCTGACGTTCACACACACGCTCATCCTCTTTGCCAGTATAGTAGCTGTGATAGAGGTTTGTGTTTGCATGTGTGCCTCTGTGAACTGTCATGCAGAAACCCCGCTGTAATCACAGAGTCTGAGCATGCAGCGTATCTCATCTGATGCTGTTTCATCTTTTTGATAGACTTATTAACAAAAGAAAACATTCATAGATGTGCAAAGAGGCAAAACTGTGATTTGTCAGGATACATATTTTCTCTGTATGATTTCCATTGTATTATACTTAAACTAGAGGGATTTGAATATAAATTGAAAGCCTCAAGCCCACTCCCTGAAGCTAAACTCTAAATAATAACTCTAAACTTTTTCTAATCTTTGGTAATTGAAGCAAATGGGTTTTGCGGGGAGAGATTTGTTGCAGGCAAACGTACATACATTCATTTTTATTTACGAGGAGGCGAGGGCTGAGCGGTGTAATGAGTGAAAATGCATGCTTAATTTAAATGGCGAGTGTGTCTGTTAGGGAATGCATTAGAGTCTGCAGAAGAAGCGTAAGACATATTAATTGACAGACAGGAACCGCTGTCTCCGAGGTTGATACAAGTAATTTATTACTTCAGAAACGAATGCCACCGCCAGAATGTGCTTCATTAATTTCAAATTTAGTTTTAATTTCAAGCTGTTGCCCCTTGAGAAGAATAAGGTGGCAAGTTCTGTTTGAAGAGACATTTTTTCCCCTCTCCCTCCCTCCATATTTCTCTCTTCGTTCTCCATCTCTCTGTCTGTCTCTGATTTTCTGCAGTACAGAACAAAGACCTGGGGGTGGGGAGATATGGGGAGGAGGGGGTGGTGACTTAATTCCAATTTGAAAACAATGTCAATGTAAAAGGGGGGATTTGGGACAGAATTACTGCAACAGCTTATGATTGGAAATACTTTGTCTTTGCTCGTCATTGGATGGTGGCTCTGTTTCCTGGAGAGCAAGTGTGAAAGTCTGTATCATTTGTTTCGATCAGTTCCCTGCGAGGTTAAGTAACAGGAATACTCTGTAAAGATGAATGTACCGTCAGTGTGATTCTAACATATGTATCTCTGTCTCTCTTTGTCTCCTCTCTGTCTGAGCAGCATATGTCCCTGAAGATGAGAAGGAAGCAGCGCTGTTGGATGAGGACCTGGATGGAGATGACTCAGGTCAGGAAGGCGAGGAACCTGCTGCTAAATTCCTGTGTCAGGATAAGGACTTTATCCTCAAGGACAGACCAGGATCCACTGGCTTCCATGACTCACCGAACGCTGCTGACTTCTCTGGACAGGAGCTGGACAGCGAGTCTCACCTGAGTGAATCCAGTGACAGGATGTCAGACTTTGAGAGCTCCTCTCTTAAAAATGAAGATGATGTCCTCCTCTCTAAAGACCCCTCGAATGTCCTCTCCCTGTCTTCCTCCTCTGCCATGATGGCTGCCGGCAACGCTGCCGCCCCAGTAAGTGGAGAGGAGGCCACGTCTGCAACGGCAGGGTCTGTGGCCGACAGCCTGGAGAAAATGAAGGCCATCTACACCTCTTTCCTGACCAATTCCTACTGGTCCACACTGAATCTGAACCTGAGCCAGCCCCCTGCTGAAAAACCCCCTCGTAGTCACAGCAGCAGCAGTAGCAGCAGCAGTAGCAGTAGCTGTGGGAGTGGAGGCTACGACTGGCACCAGACAGCGATGGCCAAAACCCTCCAACAGGCCTCACAGAACCATCAACACAGACTGGGCCTTGTTCAACATCCCACGATGGCTGTGTCCACGGCAACTACAGAACCAAACCTCTTTAGTACTGTCCAACTGTACCGTCAGAGCTCCAAGCTGTATGGCTCCATATTCACTGGTGCCAGCAAATTCCGCTGTAAGGACTGCAGTGCAGCCTACGATACTCTGGTGGAGCTTACAGTGCACATGAACGAGACGGGCCACTATCGAGACGATAACCATGAGACTGACGGTGAGGGAGCCAAACGGTGGTCAAAACCCAGAAAGCGTTCCTTACTAGAGATGGAGGGGAAGGAGGATGCACAGAAAGTTCTGAAATGCATGTACTGTGGGCACTCCTTTGAATCCCTGCAGGATCTGAGCGTCCATATGATCAAGACTAAACACTACCAGAAAGTGCCTCTGAAAGAGCCAGTTACACCAGTGGCAGCTAAGATTATCTCCTCTGCTCGAAAGAGAGCCCCTATTGACCTGGACATTCCCAGCTCCCCTGACTCCAATGGAGGGGCCACACCAAAGCCCAACTCCCTCAATGACTCTAATGACATACTACAGAAGGTCACTAACCCTTACATCACCCCCAACAACCGCTATGGACACCAGAACGGTGCCAGTTACGCCTGGCAGTTTGAGTCCAGGAAGTCACAGATCCTCAAGTGCATGGAGTGTGGCAGCTCTCATGACACTCTGCAGGAGCTGACTGCTCACATGATGGTGACGGGACACTTTATTAAAGTCACCAACTCTGCCATAAAAAAAGGCAAGCCTATCATTGAGTCAACCACCCCAGTTCCAATATCCAATACAACAGCTGAAGAAAAGGTCCAGTCTGTTCCTCTGGCTGCAACAACATTCTCCCCTCCACCTGCCCCAGTGCCTCCACCAACAAGCAGCTCCCCCACTGCTATGATTGTGGAGATAAAAAAGGAGGAGAAGGAAGAGGAATGTACCCAAGAGTCCATTATCAACAACGGTAATACTCTTAAGGAGAAGAAGGCAGGAGGTGATGAGGAGGCTGAGGAGAAGTTTGATATCTCTTCCAAGTACACTTATCTGACTGAAGAGGATCTTGAAGAAAGTCCAAAAGGTGGGCTTGACATCCTAAAGTCCTTGGAGAACACAGTGACTTCAGCTATCAACAAAGCCCAAAATGGAGCTCCAAGCTGGGGTGGTTATCCCAGTATCCATGCAGCTTACCAGCTCCCAAACATCATGAAACTCTCTCTAGGCAACTCTGGGAAGAGCTCTCCTCTTAAATATATCTTCCCTGGTGGGGAGATTCTCTCTCCCACAAGTAAGAGTCAGCCCCTGATCTCCCCCTCCAGCTGTCAGACCTCCCCACTCCCCAAAAACAACTTCCACGCAATGGAGGAGCTAGTCAAGAAAGTAACGGAAAAAGTGGCCAAGGTTGAGGAGAAAATGAGAGAACCAATCAGCGCTGTGAGAGGATCTCCCCTGAGGCGTACCACCCCCTCACCTTGCAACAGTGAGGCAGGGGACTCAGTCCGAGGACAGTCCCCCAAAGAAAACAGAGCAAGAAGCTGTAACACTCCTGAGAATTTAAGTAGGGTGGAAAAAGGAGCAGAGGATGGAGGTGGAGCCAATCACAGAGATTCAAACGGGGACATTTCCATTAAAGAGACTGTGGAGAACGGCATAGAGTCCAATGCAATGACGTCACCCATACCTGCCTCCCTGTGTGGTAGTACAGCTATCATCACAGACCATCCCCCTCCAGAACAGCCATTTGTCAACCCTCTCAGCGCCCTGCAGTCAGTAATGAACGTCCACCTGGGGAAGGCTGCGAAGCCTGCCCTGCCCTCCCTTGACCCCATGAGCATGCTGTTCAAGATGAGCAATAGTCTGGCAGAGAAAGCAGCGGTGGCTGCTTCCACCCCACCAGCACAGACCAAAAAGCCCAGTAATGACCACTTAGATCGTTACTTCTACCAGCACCATCTGAGAAACGACCAACCCATAGATCTCACCAAAGGCAAAAATGCTGACAAAAACAGCAGCACTGGCTCACTGGGTTCAGCAGCTCTGTCTTCTGCCACCTCCACCCCCTCCTCAATCTCCCCCTCTGCCACCATGACGATGACCAAAGCTTCGGCTGCAGTAGCGACCTTTATGTCCTCATCCCCTCTGCGAGAAAATGCATTGTCAGATATTTCCGACATGCTGAGGAACCTGACAGAAAGTCAGTCTGTCTCCAAATCCTCCACACCTACCAGCCTCTCTGAGCGCTCTGACATCGAAGGAGTGACACAAGAAGAGACTGAAGATGTTTCACCGGCCCAGAAACGTAAAGGACGTCAGTCAAACTGGAACCCTCAACATCTCCTCATCCTGCAAGCCCAGTTTGCTTCCAGTCTGAGACAAACGAGTGATGGCAAGTACATGATGTCAGACCTGAGCCCACAGGAGAGGATGCACATCTCCCGTTTCACCGGACTCTCAATGACTACAATATCACACTGGTTGGCCAACGTGAAGTACCAGCTGAGAAGAACCGGTGGCACCAAGTTCTTGAAAAACTTGGATTCAGGTCACCCGGTGTTCTTCTGCAGTGACTGCGCCTCTCAGATCCGTTCACCATCCACCTACGTCAGCCACTTGGAGTCGCACCTGGGTTTCCGTCTGCGAGATCTGGCCAAGCTCTCTGGAGAACAGCTGCTCAGCCAGATTTCACAGCAACATCAACAGCAACGCCACACCAAAGGACTGTCTGAAAAATTGCTCGCAAATCTTCACCCATCCAGCCACCCTTTGCCGTCCTCCCTCCCAACATCACTCCCCTCCCCCTTACCCATCTCCCTGCCCTCATCCTTAATCAACTCTCTTCCCACAAATGAATCCCCGTCACCCTCCCCTGATAATGACGATGACAGTGGGGCCATATACCAGTGCAAGCTCTGCAACCGGACTTTTGCGAGCAAGCACGCGGTCAAACTTCACCTGAGCAAAACTCATGGGAAGTCCCCTGAGGACCACCTCATGTACGTGAGTGAGCTGGAGAAACAGTAGCACTGACAGGAGACAATGCTGCACTCTTTTGTAATGGCTCACTTTCTTGCTCTCTTTTTGCATTTCACAGACGTTTCTTTAAAAAAAAAAAGGAAGGATTATTAATGTGATGGAACTGCACAAAGATGCCATACAACTACTGCTTTGAGTTTTGGCACATGGTTTTAAATTTTGTGTTGTAGTTGCTTTCCGTTTGTTCATACATGAGGTCGACTTACTTCTGCCCAAGACACTTGATTAAACTGAAGACCTTGGACATGAAAGAGACTTTGGTCGGAGTGCGCAGATGGGGACTGTCGTCATGGAAAAGATAAAGTATATGAAGGTTTAAAAAAATGAGATTATAATAAGAAGTGGTGTGTATTTTGAAACTTGTGTAAATGGAATTAAGGTCCTTTATTTTTTGGCATCACTGGGGTGTGAAAAGAAGCATGCATAAATGAATCTGTTGGTTTAAACATTTTATAACAAAATCTGGTGCACTTTCCATTTTTTAAATTATTTTGTTTCTAGCCCCTTGTCTTTATCTTTTGTTTTTTTTCCATTTTTGAGCTGGAGTCTGCATTTCAATTTAACCCTCTGAGTACGTGAAAGCACTTCTCCACCTATGATCCAAACAATATGGACGTCAGATTAGAGATTTGGGAATTCTTGAAGCTGTTGACGGAATTAGATGGACAGTGTTTCCCAGACATACATGAAAACATTTATAAAAGACTGATCCTTGTTTCACTACAAGTGTTTTTATTATTACTATTATTATGATTATGATTATTATTGTTATTATTAATGTTTTTTTATCCAGAGTTCAATGTTTGTCGAGGGTGCAAGAATTGACACAAGCATTCGAGCTTTGTGATAAAGAAGAAGAAGATTGAAAACCTTTACTTTGGTCGATCAGGGACCTATTTCAATTCAGGTCTGTGTAAAATATGTACATAAAAAGTAATAACTGATTCCTGTCTAAATTATGCATCATTTCTATATTTTTTAATTTAAAAGGATTATGACTATCTGCTGGTGCACAGTATATGACATGAGAAAAATTGTTTTGCACAATAGTTTTATAAATGTGTTATTTAATCAAAGGACACCGCAGAGAGAAACGTAGCAAAAAGGATGACAACAGGTGATTCTTTTCTTCCCCGACTCGTGCTCAAAGGGTTAAAGACTGTTTTTACCAGACACAACTCTACATGTGCCGCTGTATGAACACTAAAAAGATATTGAAGGTTGTACAAAAAGATGTGACTTTATGAAGATATTTCACATGTAAACTGTTATTTATAAACACTCTTGGTTGTTTCATATTGTTGAATGCCTTTTTCAATTGGTCCTACTTTTTTATTTTTGTTCTGCCTAATTACTCTGCCATGATTCCACACTGCAGTGTTATCTTTTCGGGATATGAAAGGTAACCATGGTTACACTAACCTCTTGAGTGACAAGTTCTGCTACATTTTTGGCAGTTAATTTGCTGAAGTAACTGACAGCTGCCAGTGTAGTGAAATAAAAAAAGAATCCTTATGTGTAAAATATCGGCATGTAAACAGCACAGATACTGTAATGCATTCTGTGCCGTTTGTCTTTTTCATTTCGTTCTCTCGTTTTCTGTTGTTGTTGTTCTTGACAATGATCCCCCCCATTATATGACTTCATATAACCTTGTTTTCTACTGCAGCATTAAAAAAAGGAAACTGTTTTTTGCAATAATGTGTGCGCATTGTGTGTCATGGCTATCAATTATGTGTGTGCTGTGCAGTCCCTAATGAGCGCATTAGACTGGGAGTGTGTCAACGTCTGTCTGTGACGAGCTGCAGACTAGTTTACAGTGAGTGGCAGCCACAGGGCCGTGTGGGAGACAAACACACACATACACACACTCGTGCACATATGCAAACTGACGCCATCACTATTGGGCTTTCCCTTGTAGCCTCATCTGTTGTCCTAGAGGCTTATATAGGCATTAAAGTGTGTAAGTCTAAGGCTAGGCCTGCTGTAAAAAAAAAAAAAAATGCCACAATGACAGTTTTTCTTTCAATATCAAAGGGAAGCAGAGAGCATTTGGACTGCACACCTATGTTGTTCCAGTGTGGAGTATTAAGAGTATAAAGACACAGAAGTTTTCTATACAAACATCAAGTTTTGATGTCTATTTAGTGTTGACCTCCAGCAAGGTAAGCCACCAGGTGAACATATTTTTTCAGGGTTTAAGGAGAGATAACAAATCATTATGACAATTATTACAATTACTGGACTTTTAATATATATTTAAATAAGTTAGTTTGAATGTCACAAAGTCAGATTAACATACCATTATAATGTGGTTGTCAATCAAACCACTATTGCATGTATCCCAGAACTGCATGTACCAAATAATGTGTCTCATCAATTAATCAGACTAAGCAATTGCATTTTGAAATGATTAGCGTTCCCTATATCCGGGCTTATCAATGCCCATGTGACCACTGACAACTAAACTGACAATTTCCGTATAATAAACTTTCATGTCTGTAACTATTGTAGAGGAGAGGGACACTGACGAAAGAGTCAGTTTCTTTTTGACAACAAACTTTTACAGTGGTTGATTAATTTCCCTGTTAACAACTCTTTGTTAAGGATGAAACAATATGTGCAACAACAACAAATAAACAGTTACCACTTTGTCCACAAGGGGCGCCCAATTCAACAATGAAAAAATGTTCCTCACGGAAGCTTAAAGCAGATTTAAAAAAATAATAATAAAAAAATAAAAACGTGTCTGCAGACACTGCAGGCAGGCTAATCAAAGTAGGTGCTGTCAAGCAACGCCAACAACCCAGAAAATGATAAAACATTGAATGACAGCAAATCAACTTTCATAGTAACAGAAAACGGTTTTATAAGCATTCAGGTATGATTAATCAAATAATAGCCACTGCATGTATAGTATGTTGTGTTTGGACAGCCATTTAGCCTAATATATTTTCTATTGCTTCCATATTAACTCAAAATCCATCTAAAACATGTTTCTGGCTAATTAAATGATGCATATCAGCTTAAAATTTAAACTATGAAACAATGGCTGCCATTATTATTAAATATGTATGAAAAAAAAAAAAGGCAAGGTAATAACAGAATTTTATATTGGCTACCGGCTGACCACTTATGTGAATATTGACATCAATATCGGCCACTTGAAAAACCTCAGTTGACCACTGGTGCACACAGTCCACCTCAATCAGGCAATCTGTGCACGCTCAAATCTAAACATACAAGGAGGTTAGATGGAAGATAAAGATGAAACTATCATATCAGCTGTTTAAAGTTGTCCTTGTTTTTATCCTTCTAACATCTTCATAGATCAGCTGGTAGAGGGCCCATTAGTAACTAGCGGCCATACTTTTGTACACTGGAATAGACAGTGGTCCAACGAAATTGTCTGATCAAGTAGAAGATAAAGAGACAGTGGAAATAAGACATATTCTATCATCACTCACAGAAACACTCATAGGAACATAAGTAACATTTAAACTTACAAAAAGACACACTTAATAAAGCAAAGCGACCTCCATCACTATATTAGCTTCACTCTGTCTCCAATACACTGTTTACACTGTTCTGTGAAAACTCACTGAGGAGCATCTATGCAACAGCTTTATATTACACACACACACACACACACACACACACACACACACACACACACACACACACACACACACACACACACACACCTCTCCACAGCCAGGTATAAGGACTTCATCCGCAGTGACAAGGTGCCACTGTGTGTGAAAATGTCAGCCTTCCACAGTGCAGCCTGAAGTCTGGCACCATATTTAAGGCTCTCATTAGCCACAAAGAAAATATGCGTGAAATTGAAGTGTAAGAAAACCTCTCTTTCTCTTTCTGTCTTCACATGAGCTGAGGAGCGGGCTTATTAAGGCTCAAAAGTAGCAAGCAGAAGGAAACAGGTATCACTGCTGGGATAAACACACACGAGGAAATACAGTATTTAAACATTCATGCACTCACCACATATCATAATAGTAACATGACTTAACTTCAAAACAGTCAGCGAAGCAACGATAATAACACATGCTGTTCTTAGGAAATCAGTTATCCTGAGCAAAGCACAAACAAGAACTGTTTTATTCTTTAAAACAACATGTACATGCACAAGACTATATTTTCTTAGATCAGCATAACCCTACTGTACACATATATAACAACCCTGAATGTAAACAGCTGTGGAAAAGCTGATAGAAAAAGAAATGGATGGTTTGCAAATCATTTAACCTTTACACTAAACTGTGTAAAGAGAACATAACAAGGTTTTGATCGTGGAATATTTTATTGGCGTAGATAAATTATGTGCTCATTCTTAATTTGATGCTATAACATGACTCAAAAAGTTAAAACACTGAAAAAGATGTGAAATACTAAAAAAAAATAACATCTGGAGGAACATCTCCAACAAGTGAGGTGAATTTCCAACAGGTTAGTAACATGACTGGGTCTAAAAAGGACATTCAGAGAGGCTGAGTCTCTCAGAAGGAAAGATGTGAAGAGGTTCACCACTCTGTGAGAGACTGGAGAGACTGTGTGAGCTAATAGTTCAACAGTTTCAGAATAATGTTCTTGAGTGTCAAATGTTAAAGAATGAGTGGATTTAATCATCTACAGTACATCATATCATTCAAAGATTCAGAGAATCTGGAGAAATCTCTGGACTAAAGGGACAAGGACCAAAACCAAGACTGGATGGTCCTGATCTTCATCCTCAGGAAGCACTGCATTAAAGACAGACAGGACTCTGAAGTGGAAATCACTGCATGGGGTTAAAATCACTTCCCAAAAGACTTGTCTGTGAACACTAGTTCATCACTGCAGCCACGTTAGGCTCTATGCACAGCCCCACGACTTCCTGAACTTGAGACAGCTCCTTTATTTCCAGTCTTATGTTATTGGACCAACTGATTAATCCAGGTGTGACTGATCACTGTGACTGCTCAGACACACCTGGATTAATCAGTTTGTCCAATAACATCAGATAGGAAATAAGAAGCAGCCTTGAGTTTAGGAAGTAGTGGATTAGTGCATAGAGCCCATTGCAGGTTAAAGTGAACCATGTGAAAACTCCAGTAGACTTTGTTTTGTTAATTTATTAAATATTTGATGCATTTACATTGTATCAGACCTACTCTGAGGACTGCATGGAAAAAAAAAAAACATACAGTAGGACGTTTTCTGAAATGTAAAAGGACTGCACTGCCTGCAGCCAGCTCTGCCACTGAACATTAACATCTTAATAGTGGTTTTGGAGATGGTGCTATGTGCCAACACACCACACCCTCATTGTAGCGCACACAATGCAACCGTCACAATCCTCCACAACAGTAAGCTGCTCACAGGCGCTTGAGAAAGGTGTGCTGCAGATCCAGATAGCTTTATCTGTAGCAGGGGGCTGGTGGGAGGGTGGGAATACACGCTCAGAGGATCCACTCCACACAATGGAATCACACTACATAACACAAATAAAGCCAGGGTACAAGCAAGCACAATCCTCACACAAAGACACACAGGGACAGCACCCTGTCCGTCTCACTTTCTCTTGATTTCTTTTTCTGTTCCCATTCCTCCTCTCTGTTGATCTTCATTTGACTTCAGCACACATGAAGCCAAACACGGACACAAAGCTACCTCTGGACAGAACAAGTAGCTGTATGCTCAGCCTTTTGTTGGTGTCCCATGGAACTGGTCAGCCTCGTCCTACTTGAGTATGGAAGTTAGACACAAAGTATAGCCAAGAACTTTTTTTTTTTCCTCCTTTGAAATTTAAAGCGTTTTATCCATGCAGGTGTTAGACTGTTGGGATGACAATGTAAATCTACTGTTTTGAGGGTTGGTTCACCTCAATACTCCATTCATTCTCCATCCTTCTTGGCTTAAACTTGAAATTGTTCTTCATTTTCTTGTGTTAATGACAACCCTATCTGCCTCATATAGTAGCTGTTAAATATCAGCACATTGGTATTATCATTATAAGCATGATAGCATACTAATATTTAGCATTTAGCACAGTAAACTGTTCTGCTTAAAGCGCAGGGCTTCCAGCACTGGATCTGCACTTTTCCAAAAATTCAGAGGAGTGAGGGAAGGAGCATCTGTCACATCATGAAGCTGACTTATAACTCAGGTGTGCAGGCTTTGTTTGGAGTTCTGCTTACAAGCAAGGTAAACCAAAACGTTTTCTCTACTCTGCAACTGTAAAGAAATACCATTTATACTCAGTGGTCAAAACTTCAGACAGCTCAGTGAGATGTGGATTTTAAGAAAGAACAACAATAAGGGTGATTGTTACTCAACTGATATGGAACGCCATTGCTTATGCTAACTGGTGCATTTTAGATGGAAACTCACCAAATAGAAACAGCAGTTCCTATTTTTTTCTGTATGGTCATGTGGACATAAAATGCTCATTTTGAGTGAAAAGCTTTTTTGAGGTGTGATACAAGGTGTAAGAAGAATATGTGTGTTGACCCTAGTACTATTATTGATTTAGTGGTCATAGAAAATTATGTAAGCAAAATAAGTGGAAAGTTTTAGTAAAATATCTGAAGGGACATGTGCCCTACCCACTTGAATGAGCATGATGCAGGTCTATATATCTTCATTTCTATTGTTCAAAAGTGAGAGTCTGACTATTTTCACACAAACTTGTGATTCTCTGTCTTACAAATACACTACTTTATATTTCTGAAAAAAAAATAGCATTTTTGTCTTACAGAAATTTGCTAAAATTGGATTTATTTTGTCTTATGAGTTCATAAGTTTCTCCCCTGCATTAGCACCTTTCTTTTCTGAAATTCAGCTTCTTACATATTGGAAAATTACTTTGCCCCTTCAGCTCTCTTTCCTCTGTAAAATGGACCTTTACATCCTAAAAAAAATCCTCAAAAAAGTGATCAACATTTTGGAAATTATGATGAGAATATCGAAAAGAATTCTTTACTGCATGCATGAATAAACTCTTTCCAGAATCGCACTTATAAAACGGTATCATGAGCATCACTCTCCCAGTGATTAGATGTGTAGAAATATTCTGTGGTCACCAGTTTTTCTCGCTTCCTGAAATGCAGAGGTTTGTCAGACCAGGCTGCAAACGCAGCAGCATTAACATAGCCTCTCCTCTGCTGTGAAGTGAATGCAGCTCAAGCATTTGCACTACAGTAACAAACCAAATTGAAGTCATTCAGCTGTAAAACATCAAAGTAAGGTTCTCGGAGACCAAAGATCGCTCTCTGATTATCTGTCTTCAGTCTCTTCGTCGGTAATTCACCAGAGCAACTCCTCTTGGTAACATTACCAGAGCCTTGATTTGCTAATGTCTTGCTTTGGGAGAGACTTATTCATTTGTACAATCGCTGATGTCTCTGATCACAGGACTGGCATATGTAAATTCAGTCTGTGCAGGATCCTGGGCGAGATTCCTTAAGAAGACCATGGGAAGTGTGCCAAGAGACTGGGAAGTTGAACATCAAAGTCGTAGATCAGAAGCAGCTGAAAGGTAGAATCATGACATTTACTTGCTTTTATTAATAAAATATTTAGAGAATCTTTACCAGGGTTAACTTTAAGGTTTCTCACTCTGCTGAAGCTCTGAATCTTCTTTTTGGTGTATAAAGAGACAAGATAAAAACAGACTCCTTTACATTGAAATAAACTGAGATCAAACCAATCTGGATTGTTCACACACAAGATCAAGTTTATAGAATATTCAAAAGTATTTAAAGCTCTAAGATTAAGTCAAAATTGGTTGATTGATGATTTAACAAAGATAAGCAAAGTCTGTGGAGTGTGGCTAACGTTAGCAGAGCTAGCACCACCAGCCCTCCGTTCTGTCTGTAGGTTAACGCCCACATCTCTGTGCTGTTAAGCAGGAGATACCATTGGTTATCTGTATTTGTTTACATCCAGATATTAGAGCATTGAAACATTACGGTAATCAACATTTACATGAGCCAAAGCCACAGCTACTAGCAGGTGGCTGCATTACGGCTTTGACACATCCTAATTGGCATTTTGGGTCTTATATCGGGAAATTAAGACATTTGATCAATGGGCAGTCAAACACTTTGCAAATTTAAGTCAGCCCTAAATTTTTGAGTGGCACAGCTGATTTTGAATTGGGCTCGGAGTTTGGCCTATTTATGAAGTACTTATGGGGGCTTGATCAGCTGCTCCCCTTGTTAGGATGAGCTACTGGTATGACATCAATATTTGTCAGCACACTCTTACACACTGAAAACAGAGCCATGAGATAAACTCCTTTAAGTTCAGGACTTGTTCGATTGAACCCGCGCAAAATGGTAGATGGCATCTGCAAGCACAACGGCAACATGCCTCAAGATTTGGACAACTGAAATACACAAACACATCTATCAGCCATAACATTAGGACCATCTGTGCAATCCAGTGTAACACAATGTTTGCTGCATTGACAATTGTACTTTTTATCCAAGACATGTTTTCCTTTAAAAACAGCTGTGCAGGAGTTTCCTTGTTTTTAAAATGGGACTTTCATCAACTTCTGCCCAGGGCCTGTCATGATTTAGCAGGTACAGTCCGATCACTTTGTTTGTGAATGTCTCTGAATATTTGAGGTTTATTAAGTGTTTGGGACAGGAAGTGTTACTGGAGTGAGCAAGCACTGAGCAGAAGGAGCGGACTGACTAACCTATATGCCCTATATGACTATCAGAGGAGGACATGTGGAACATTTACATAAAACTGATACAAAAGCTAAGAGTGTAGATGATGTCAAGTCCTTGGGTCTTATCCTGTTAAGCCCCAGTTTCATCCTTTTTCTTGATGGGCAGGGGCGGCTGATACACAGCAGCATTTTGGCTTTTGTATTTTGTATTCTGGTGTCCAACCACACAACAACATGACACTCATACTACCCCATGGTGAGGATTCTTTTTCCCTCAGATTTGTCACCAGCAAACACTGTGATTTTCCAAGGGCCTATTGAACACTCACGATCACCCAGGTGTTATCTCAAAGAGTCAGTCGGTTATAGTGTGTTTGTTACCTGAAACCCTGTAGACCTGCTCTGGCCCCACACCTTTGCAAAGTATCTTAAAATAACGCATGTGATGAATGTGCAATTTCCCTAATTTACGGCTGGCTGCTGTACTCAGGGCTGGATGGAAATCTTAAATGGGGCTTGAACAGCACTCCTCACAACAAGAAATCAATATGCCATGCAGCCTAGAGAGGCGACCCGCTATCTGCTGTGGCCGAGGCGACGCTCGTGGGGTAATTTCCTCTAAACGCTACAAACACAGCTCAGCCACTTCACCGACACAAATAGAATCCCAGACACACACACACACACACACACACACACACACACACACACACTCGACAAGATGTATGCTGAATGTGTTCACCGATCTGTGTGTGTGTGTATATGTGTGTTTGTGGGTGTGTGGTAGGGAAACAATGAATGGGCAATAAGACAAATGGTGTAATTTACACACTCTTATTCACAACCACATTGAGTAAAGAAAGGTTACTTTTCAACTTAAAGACGGACAGAAAAAGTGAATTATACAAATGATTAAAACATGCGGAACAGATTGATTGACCTTTTATCAAAGGAATCCGGTTTGCCCCTCTATCGTATCAAAAAAAGAGAAAAGGCTAAATGTTAGTAAAGGTGCAAAACAGCCTGCATCTATTTATTTAATGCATTTTGCAAAGAATATTTTGCAGATCATATCGATGTAAGTAGCTCAGCAGCATTAATAGTGCCAAATGCTAACAGGTGTTCTGTCAACACAACCCTTGTTTAATCAACAGAGACTTAATTCCACCAGGAACACAGAGTTTAGGGAACATTAGTTATGCAGTTAACAGATATTCATGTCAGTGCCAATTGTGGCAGCTATTTTGGTCTAAGTATTTGGACTAAAATGCCTTTGAGTTTTAGTCACATTTTGGCCATTTTTGCACCTCATCATTTTAATCTAGTTTTAGTCACTAACAGTCAAGACATTTTGTCAACAAACAAACACAACTATTCAATCAGAATATGCTACCAAGGTTGCACTTGTATCCGTACCAACACTGTAGCTTCAGTAATATCTGGATCCATAACCTTAATATGATGATTTAGTTTAGATTCTCCCACAATGCAATGCGCTGTGCTATCCTTTATGATCTACTGAAGTAGCACCAGAGACTGTGTATTAAATGGATGTTGTCTGCCTCCTCACTTGGTGACACGACCTCGAGGACAGCACCCTCTGGTGACAGGCTGCAGTAAACTTATAAATCCCACCTCCTCTAGCAATCCCTATGGAGCTGTGGACAAACTTTAGAATTTTATTACACAGAATATATTTTTTTCTTCCCCCCTGGTTGTGATGTTGACATGTAGTCACTGTAAGACTGGTTTGTGCTCA